TTAAACAGTGTTAACTAGTGTATTCTTAATAGAGCTGCCATGATTTATCTATAAGTTGACCATTGAACTATTGAATTAATTAACTATTTTGATAGTCGGTTAATTGGTTGGAGTAATTTTTAAAGAAAAAACTATTAAAATTCTCTGATCCCACCTCGTTAAATTTGAACATTTTTGGATTTCTTTAGTCATCTATGAAAGTAAACTGAATATCTTTTTGGTAGTGGACAAAACAAGACATTTAAGGACGTCATCTTTCCCAATGTTTTCTATGGCTCACACAACTAAGATAAAATTACAGCCTTAAGTCCTAACGCCGTCTACATATTTTTATTGTTTCGTTTCCCATCTACAGAATGAAAAACCACGAAAAATCCAAAAAGCATCGGGAGATGGTGGCGTTGCTACGACAACAGCTTGAGGAAGAAGACGAGTCACTTGGTTTGAATGTGGATGGGAAGGAGGACAGAGAGGACGAAGAAGAGGAGGAAGATGACGAAGAAGAAGAAGAGGAGGAGGAGGAGGAGGAAAGGCCAAGGCAGAAGTATGTCCTATCATGTCCTGAGGGATGTGATGGTAGAAAGCAATTAACTTCATCTGGTTGTCAGGGCAGTTAGAAGTTTGTGAATCACCAGGGTTATGTAACATTTATTTGTTTTTACTGAGAACTTTCTTTCTTTCTGCCTCCACAGACTGTCCAAAAGACAAAAGAGGAAAAAGAAACTACAGAAAGTGCCGCAAGTAAGAATCATCTCGTCTTTTTATTCAGCATGTGTGCTCAGTTTAGTGTACTCTTGTTCCCTACTAAGTGAACCTTTTCTTTTTTTAAATTTGTTCACTGTTCAGGCTCCTCCACTACAGCAGAGCGCTCAGGAGGTGGAGAAGAAACCAACACCGACCACCACCTGTAATGAAGAAGCCCCTGAAGAGTCAACCGACCCGACAGAGGCTGAAAAGCAGGATGATGTCCCTGCTCCTGAAATAAAGAGGTCAGTTTGGGCTTTTTGTTATCTCTTGAACTGTCTTCTGTTTAAGTTTTATTTTTTTGTGTGTGATAGTCATTGTGTGGTTTTCTGGATTTGTTCAAAACGGAGCATTTAGATGGATTTAGTTAAATGCAGCCTTATTAGATCAAACTAAAGCCTGATTTTGTGTCTGTAACAACTTCTGGTAAAAGTCACTGATTACACACCACTATGTTCTGTCTCACTTTCTAGCGCGTTCGTGACTAATGTTGTCTTGTTTGATGCTCAGCAGGCAGCATACAGTAGTTACCGTGTGATTAAAATGAGACATAAGACTGTGTGGGTGTACTACTACCAGCAACACCTTACATTAAATCATGTTTCATCCATCGTTAATATGTTTTTGACTCATGCAACTTTAAATACTCAGATGGGCCCAGAATCTGTCATCCTCTAAAACTCTGTTACCTCATTAAGGAAACCTGTTGGGTTCTTCAAAGAAGACTTCATATTGTTTTGGCTGCACTGTGCATTTTTTTTTAACATAAGCAGATAAAACCAGTGTTTTGGGGAACTCTTTTGTGAGCATCATAGACCATGATTATGATTGACTGAGGAGTCGTGGTTTACAGTAACAGTGACGCAAAACAGTTAGCTCCTGGATTGAATTGTACAAGATAATACAGAGTTGTAAAATGTCATGCTGTTTGCAGTTAGATTTTTATTTATTTGTTATGTGAATGTTGCCTCAGCAGCGCTGGAAGGATGAAGGGAAAGAAAGGAGGAAAAGACAAACCAAAGAACGTCAAGTCACACACAGGAGAGCAGCAGCCGGAGGTTTGTAGAGTTTTCTCTTACAGAGTTGTAAATATATCATCTCCAATTTAACTCTTACGTACATGAGTGATTAAAAACTGAGTGAGAAATGAGACTTAAAACATTTTTTCAATATCTCTTGTTTTGACATCAAAGTGCACTTTAAGGCCGGAAGCTACAGGTGACTTGGATAAAGATGTTGTTGATATCATCATGAAGCTTCTGCAGTTGATCACAATTAGACAATCATTTCTTGTATTACAAGTTTTCTGAAATGTTGTGTTTAAGTATGCACATTAAATATGATGTTGTTACATGTACTAACTTGCATACGTTACCAGAACTGTCAACATTCAGGTTCAAAGCTCTTGCCTCGTTTTGTTGGCATATTAGAGCAAAAGCTTTTTTTTTCTTTTTATCTCCTCCATAAATCAGAAAATTCTGTCAACGGCCAGAAAAAAAAAATCTGTGTTCACTAGGTTTTTAGGACTAAAATGTTAATGTTAGAAATTAGGGTATAAATTCTATATGAACAATCCCCCTGAATACTTTTAGGATAGAGATGGGGCTAAAACTGGGATGTTTGAGGTATGAAGGTGCTCCTGAAGTGGAAATGTTAGATTTGTTTTTGGGTGGAGAAACAACTATAAACAACCCAAAGTTAAGAGAAATCCATAATAACACAATTTATCAGAGCCAGAAACTGTAAAAACAGAAAGAAACATCAGATTTTTAATTTTCCAACAGTCCTTGAAGTACTTGTCTGTTCCTCCAAGAAACCCTACCAAATCTAGGCTTAGAATTGTCCATAGAGGTGCAGGACTTTATATTGCAGTGAAAAATGAGCCCACAGTGAGTGAAGATGGACCAGGAGCAAAAAAACAGAGGATTAAAGATGTGTCATCTTTGTGGAAATGAGGATTTGTGGGTAAAACCTTTCGATGAAACACTAAAAACCTCCTCAGTGGATTACCAACATTTGTGTTTTGTGCAGCATACATGTGTGTTTGGAACTTCTTTCTACCAGCCTGAAAGAAAACACGTTTCCTGTGACTTTGATCTAATGAAAATACCTTGGTGTTTTATGATATGATATGGTTTTAATTAAAGCTTGAATATGCATGAAAGAGTTAATCAGTATGTCGACGACACATACTTCTATTTTTATCAGGTTAAACTCATCATTTTTTTCACAACAACACTACATTAGTTTAAAATTGGCACCTAATGTCAGAAAATGATCCACATTTGAATTGTTTGATCCCATTTCCGCCTCCAGAAGGAAGGAAACCTGCGCTGCGTCACCTGTAACTACGAGTTCCCCACTAGAAACAAGCTGTTCGACCACCTGAAGACCAGCGGCCACGCCACCGCCGTCTCCGCAAACGGCGCCCACAGCTCCGTGAACAAGAGCAAAAAAGACAAGCGGAAGAACAGATAACACATCTTCATTCGGGTTGAAGAGCCTGAGAGAGTCTGGCTCAGCGGGGGACACGTGGAACAACACTGAGAAGTTTCAGAAGGCTACAAAACCTTGGGAAGTGGTCTGAGGTGGACTGGACTGACTGAGAGCAGATAGCTTTTTTTAAAAAAATGACACCATGAGCATGTTTGATTGTGTGATTGAGTCTTTCAAATTGCGCTGATCAGTTTTTCAGTATGTATTTCTTCTTAACTTATGAAAGTCTCTTAACTGACAAAGCAGCAGGGAGAAATCGTTCAGGATGTGAATAGGATACGTTTATCCCCGTTGTCATGTCTCTGCTGTTTTCAGGAGCCATGTCCTCGTTGTTTGTCACGCACATCTCTGTAGTGGTATTACTAATAAAGGTGATGCTGCACGCCAGTATTTATACAACCCTGCAATCGTTTGCATTGATGCCTCATTTGTAACTCCATATTTTATAAAAGCTGTTTTATTAGTGAAACAGTAAAACAAAATGATACAGTTTTATTATCAAATCTACAAAAATGTGAAGTCATTCCATCAAGCATATGTTGTCAGATCTATCGTCATTGCACATGTGTAAACTGACCACAGAATAATCATAAAAAAGCTTATTCATTGGCTCTAAACCCAGCAAAATGAAAACCAATTTGATGAGAAATACATGCGTATCAAATCAGTTTTCCTCATTCGCATGTTGGCTCAGATTCTTAAATAGCGGAGTCTGTAATAGAAAAAAATAAGTTCAACTGATTGCATTGCAGGTGTTTTGCTGAACATTCAGAACAAAGCTGTTAAAGGACATAAGGGTGAAATCATTAATAGTTACATTTACAACATTTGCAGAGATTTACAAAAAGTCCACTGCCGAGTGGGTTTCACGCTTCACTGATCTCCTCCCCCGATCTGCTCATTTTCTGTCCATGTAGTTGTTGATGGCTCTGTCAAAAACTGCCACAAAGAAATCTGCGTCCTTCGTCGTGATGCACATGGGCGGTTGTATGCGGAAAGTCTGAAGTGGAGAGAAAAGAGAAGGAGAGAGAGGGGAGATTATGGAAAAGCAGCTCCTGTGTTGTATTCTGTGTTACATCCTGAAGGGGGAGCAGGAGCTTGAGCTGTAGCTGGGACATGTGAATACTGATACACAGCTAATAGTGAATGAAGACTTTGTTTTGTGAAGCAGAATTAGTCGCAGTGGGTACTGAAACCAGAGACGGGAGATGAAAATGAGCTTAGATGAACTTTAACGATCCACAAAGGAAACTGTTTTATCACAGTAGCACAAGATAAATAAGTATATATACAATATATATATATATATATATATATATATATATATATATACAGAATATACAAAAAAATGAAATAAAAATAAGTAAAAAATCAAGCAGGAAAAAAGAATACACTACAAAGATTTCCATATGTACAATTTACAGTTTTACAGTTTTTTGTTTTTTTTTGCCAAGTAAAGAAAGACAAAAAAAGAAATAATAAAATAAAATAAAACTGCTGTAACACTTAATGCTATACACTCTATATGCAATACATCACATGTTTTCTATGTTAAGTGCACGGTCCCTGATCAAATAAATAAAATAAATAAACTTAGAAATTAATAGTACGAGGCGCGTGGTTGGGTCGGTGACTTTCTAAAACATCTGTATTCTTCTGTTTTTTTCCTTAGTATAATATTAATAAATATGTAACAGGACCTTGACAGCCACTCACTGCAACCTACTAGGACGTCTTTGTGAAATCAAAATTGTGCTTTAACAATGACAACTGATGAGCAGCGATAGACACAAAACCACCAAAGAGGGTTTTAATAAAAGCTTCAGCAGCCGAATCCAAAAAAAAAAAAAAATCACAAAATGACTAAAAGTGCCATGCTGAAGTAATCTCAAACTTAATTATCCTTCTATTAAGCCACTACTAACAGGAACAGGTCCATTTGTTAATGACGTGTAAAACATCCCTCATCTTTATCAGGTTTATGACGTACGCGTGAGAATAAGGTTGTAATGTCATGAGATAAGGTACAAAGCAGTGGATTGTTTAATGCAGTAAAGTTAGAAACGGTTATGTGCGAATGCAGGCGCCTAAGATCTAAGATTGTGTACCTGTGAAAGAGGAAATACTACAGTCGTTGTTTCTCTCGTAGGTTCAGGTGCAGCTGTTTGTAAGTTACATACTTTACGTATTGAGCACATTCTTATAATTTTCCTCTGCATTCTGTTGAATTCTAGCCTTTATTTTTCTTTCTGTTATTGTTTTTCTCTTAAAATAATAAAAATTAAGACTTTAAATCTCAGTTTTAAATTCATAATAGCATAAAGAACAATTAAAAGATTGAGATTTTTAGTAATTGCTTTGTTTTTAAGTTATAATTTTATGAGAGAAGAGAAAATGTTGCCATGCTTAACAAAAAAGGTTTGGTTTTATTGATATTACATCAAATATACTAACTTCTTTTTCCATGTTTTAGCATTTCCTGGCCAAAAAATAATGTTTAAAGCACGATTAACATTTGACTACATATCTTTGCAAAAAGTTTTTGGATAGAACCGTTTGAAGCTGATTCATCCACTGCACAGGAGACATTTCCAGATTCCAGTCAAACAGTTCTAAAAGCCTTTTCTCTTGTAAAAATAATACTTGAGATAAAACTGCCAGAAAAATCTTTCAAAACTTGCCCCAGTCCTCAGTTTACACTTCAGGCAGAAGTGAGACCAACGAGAAGGAGATGAAGAGTACTACAGATTGGTTTGAAATAGTTTTGTTTTTACTAAAAGAAAAAACTTCAAGAATGAAGACTAGAAGTGGGTCGGTCAGTTCAGTCCTCCTCATCTCTCACATGTGGCACGTGAATTGAGAAACTGCTCTCAGATCATGCAATGTCAATAAAAATCCTTAATTACAATGTTATTAAGACTTTTCTGGCCACAAAATGACACCTTTGCTTTTGAAATATTCAGATAAAGTGAATATTCAGTTATATCATTCTCATTATATTAGAACTTTGTGCTGAAGTCAACACAAGTCAGGCCATTTCTACTTGTAGTAGTCTAAAGTCACGTTATGTCTGGAGGTTTGAATAAATAAAAGATTAGAATTTTCTAAAACGAACAAACAAACAAAAAACATCAATTAGAAAATGTAGCTGAATATTTTGAAGTATTTATACTACATTCTTGTGACGCTGCAAAGTACAAAGTGATGGACTAGTGGACGGTGAGTGCTGTTACCTGTCCATACAGTCCTCCTTTCCCGATCAGGACTCCCATGTCCTTCACGTCCTCAAAGATTTCCATCATTGCCTCTGGACACAGCGGCTCTCTGGTGGCCTGTGCATCATACAATAGAATATTCTTTATATATAGAAGAGATACAAGGGTCAACAAGGCTGGGTGTGTTATCGAAGCTACAGTCGGTCCTAATATGTGACACTCCCTTATCTGTGGAATTATATCTGTGCCACAATCCTGAGTATGTAATGGGAAATTTTGAGTGCAGAAAAAAATCTTGAGCAAATAAAAACTTAATCTGAGAAAAATGAAAATCTATTCTGCGCTCGAAATTTCCCATTATGCGCTCAGGATTGTGGCACAAATATAATTCCTTACTCATCTCTCTCCTCAAATGTCAGAATCAGAATCAGCGTTAATGGCCAAGTACATACACAACATACAAGGAATTTGATTTCGCCCTAGGAATTTGCAGGAATAAGAGAAATAGGAAAATTTAAAAAATAAAATAAAACAAAGTAAAAAAACTGCAGAAAGAAAAGAATAAAATAAAACACAATAAATATTAATAAAAAATAAAACAAGATAATAAGACAAATACATACAAGAATTTACACATCTGAGCAGAAAAGGTATATGTAAATTAGTGCAAAATGTCCTACTTAAGAAATCAAAAAAGCCAAGAAAGAGCAATACGTAAACACCTGCCAGAGTCTGAGCAGAAAATCAGTTAGTGGATTTCTGTTTAGATGTTGGAAAACTTGTTCACAAGCACCAAAAACACAAGAACCAGTGTGAGCAGCTGCATCTAAGTGTTTGCTAGTAGTACAGTCTTCAGGTGAATAATAATAATAACAGCTGGAATGGGTTTTTTTTACTTAAAAAATTCTGCAACATTTCCTAAATTGTCATGAATAGAATGAACATAAACCTGGAAGCAAAACATACTGGATGCAGCTAAAGAGACCTTTTTGTTTATGTGTTTATTGAATCGTGTTTCAATCTGTGAATTAAAGATTTCAGTGAGGGTCTTGATAGAAGCATAATTTGACCCCTATCCCTCTGTGCTAATGGAGTTATAAAGAGTTTAAGGCAGGCAGCCATGATTTTAAACATCCTTCTGCTTTTCATTACAGTTTTGTCGCGTTCACGAAGCTCCAGCAGAGGATTCCTTAAATTACAATCACAAAGCAGGTGTTCCAGGGTAACATTAAACAACATGCTGGTGTTTAACGTTCCACTAAATTGCTGCAGAAATTGCTGCCAAGGCAATTATGAACACTTTAGAATTATTGAATGCAACACGCAACGAGGAAACTGCTTTCTAAAGAGGAGGAGTGGTAAAAATTATACTCTAACCAACACTGAGTGAAAGACGGCCTGCTGTGTGTGATGAAGGCAAAAGAAAAAAGAAGGAGCATTAGGGAGCGGGAACATTGGGACATTTCAACAGAAAATTTCTGGTTCTGGCATTTTGTTTTTAAATACAATATTTACCACATTTCACTGATTTTAAAAAACACATCAGAACTTATGCAGAAGTACAAACGTTGCAGCTGATCTTGTTCTGCTCACTCCTGTCACTAACCTTGTCTTTGACCATTTCCACTCCGATCTGCAGGCCTTTTCCACGGACGTCACCGATGATCTCGTACTTGTCTCTGAGCTTCGCCAGCTCTGTCATCAGATGAGTGCCCACATGAAGACTGTTCTGCTGTAATCCGTCCTCTTTGATGGCCTGGTGAGTAAAAATGTGTTGAGTTGAAACAGCGTATATAAGATCATGCAGCACTTCATTCACTGTTTTACGCCATCTTGTTCAATGATGTTATTAAAGCGGGAAAATATAGCAGCTGGAAAACTCATTATCTTAGCTCATCCAGTAGTGGAAAAAAATTCAAAATGAGCATTGGTGGCAGAGATTAAATGATTTAGAGAGAAGAAAAAAACATGCAATTTCATTACTCCTCAGTTGTTATAACTGAGTAATAAATGTGTGTGACTGTGTGTGTTTATGAACTTCTGCTACACAAACAATTTAAGACTTTTGATGAAATTAAACTCTCCCTGGTAAAAGTGAAGGACTGATGTAGAAAGACAAGCTTGATTCTTACATCGAGCACCGCTGACCCAACAGCACAGGCCACAGAGTTTCCTCCAAAGGTGTTGAAGTGGTAGGCTTTGGAAAAGGAAGCAGCGATTTCTGGAAAAACACGTGAATGAACAGATTCAAACCTCCACTCAGTGCCACCTTAAATCAAAACTCACACATTCCTCAGACTACATGTTGGTTTCTGAGCGACATAAATGCTCCCCAGTGGGGTTTTAAAAGGACGGCGTGGTCTTTATATGATATAATTGCAATGTGGAAAACTAGTAACACATCTTAGGTCAGCAAAAAAATGCTACAAAAAAAAAGAGAGACAGAGAGCCAGTATTTTAGGAAAATGTGTCCCCTTTATATAGAATAGAAAACATCTGACATCTTCTAGTGTTTCTTTACTCTTTAATATTGGAACTAATGAGGGGAAAAATGTACCGCTCCGTTCAAAGAGACGTAATCGTAAAAAGGTATTTAATCTTTATAATATTTACTGACCTGGAGTTGTAACAACAGCTCCCATTGGGAATCCGTTGCCAATCCCCTTGGCCATTGTCACAATATCAGGAAGGACGTCATAACCTTGGAATCCCCAAAAGTGGGTTCCTGTTCGCCCAAATCCAGTCTGGACCTGCCAGGTGTCAAACATCATTAATAGATTTTTAATTAGAAATAAATCTAGATATGTGATGCAAGAGGTAGTGCAACAGAGATGGAAACACACTTTGACCAAATAAACCAGTACCTCTACTGAAAGAAGCACAAATTCGATGTTTTTTGTTTTTTTTTTTTTTGTCATTTCATTAATTAAAATAAATACTTAAATCATTCCAATGAGAGATTTCAGCCTAAGTGTTTACGAACACTGAGTACAGGGATACAATAAAAGGTGTGTTCATTGAGAATATAACTTCTCTGACGATCACAAATGTTCTTCCTGCTGTCAAATGTCTAATCTGCCGGAATTATTACATTTTTTTAAACCCAATTGAGAAAATTCATTTTAATTAATAGAACAAAATGACCAAGAAAATGACCACATCGTGTCCTGGGAGCAATTTCTGCAATTTTCCTGTTCTTTCAGCAATCACATAATTCTCCTGCGCTTTTTAAAAACCAGGACAATAAAAGAGGACCTCTCCAGCTCTTTAACGAACAGTAAACTTGGTGTCTCTTTCTCCATCAAAGAGCAAAAGCCAGTGAATGAAAATCCCAAACAAACAGTCATAAGAGAAAGTTTAGCCATTATTATTGAAACTGATCAGGCAGAAAGAACGTGTTTATTCTTACAAGACAGAAATAATCTGATTAAACATTTGCATAATTATTGTGTTGAACACATTATCAAAAGACCCCTCTTGATGCAACTGAACAATTCCTTCCATTTTGACCTAATGAAGCCACTCAGTTCTGATTGAGGTGGTTACAAGTGACAGTCTTACTCAGCTCGACTGCTCGTCTGATTATTAGTTATTATATGATATCCGGGTTCATCTAAACACAGCTATGACTTTTGCTTCGTTAATGTGTGTGTGCTCTCAGCCCTGCCACAGTGTTTTCTTTATGCACTTTATGTTTGAGCAAAACAGCTTAACGTGTATCGAACCTCATCGGCGATGCAGACTCCTCCTCTCTCTCTGACAAGCTTGTAGGCCTCCTTGAAGTAGTTTTTAGGGTACTGCACTGCTCCTCCCATTCCCTGTACACATCAGACACATCAACCCATCTTATAAATAATGAAACAAGTCTTAAATAAGCCAAACACAATCACACCAAGGTTTTTCTTGTAGCCAGCACCAAAGGAAAATTAACAATGCTAAAATTATATGGCTAGAGATTAAAAATAATAAATGTTTCATTAAAATCAGTTTTGTTAATTAAAGTACTATTGAGTAACATTACATTTTTGTTCAACAAATGGTCAGAAATAACAGAAAAAGGCGTAGATTTGTATCACATAAGGTACCAAAGCATTGCCTTAACAATAAGTTTATTGTCTGTTGTCATCTCCCCTCAGAAGCTCATTCTAAATCAGGACAAAACCCTGCATACTGAACACAGATCACCTCATAACAAAGATTTTAGTTAATTAAGTCATATTTTTTAATATGCTGGTATCACATTAATGACATAGAATTGATCCTTCACAATAAAACACACCTGAATGGGCTCTCCAAAGAAACCAGCAACTCTGCTCGCAACGCTTGTGTGAAATGTCTCTCTGAGCTGTCCGATGTATTGTTCATTTGCCGCGCACTGACCTGCGGAGCCAAAGAAAAGTGGTTTTAATCGGCAGCAGTAGCAGTAGTAGTAGTAGTAGTAATATACCTTTTAGCAAGTCTGTTGCTTATAGACCTAAAATAATGCTTTTTGATTCTACAGGAGCTAAAAGCTGAGCAGTTATTTAATATATTGTTTAATGCAGACACTTGTTTTCTCTGATTTCCAGCATTACAACTGGCCTGTCTCACCATGGTCACTTTTAGGCATATTTTAAAGAAGAACTGAGTCAAAAGAACATACACTAGGCAAACTAAGTGCAACAGGTGATTTACTAAGGCTGTTGATGGAGGTCTGTGCAGAAATATTAAGCAAAGTATGTGCTATAAATATCCCACTCACCTCGGAGCACCTTACTTTGTCAAAGGTCAGGCATTCACTCTAACAACACAGGTAGTTATTCCATTAATATATTGCAGAAGGGAGCGAGACGCTCAGTCCGACAGACATTGGTGATGCCTCTTTATGAGCGCAACAATAGAGATCACTGCTGTGTGTTGAGTTGTGGGTGCACGTGCTTGTGTACCTTGGGCACAGCCACACTGTCTGTCGGTCTGCACAGGAGAGTCCCGGCAGTGGCTTCCTCCCCACGGACCTCTGTACACGTCAGGACACATGGTCTGTTGGTCGGGCAGAAACCAAAATCAGTCGGCAAGCTGAGAGCGACGGTTAAAAAAAATCAACAGTCGCTAATAATAGCACAAAGAAATCACGGGGAAGCTTGGAATGCTGCCACGGCTTCACTCAGTACCATCGATGGGTTTGCAATAGATGGTTGGATGCATTAATAGCTGAAGGAATGCACTCTGACTACATCACCCGCTACATCATGTAATAAAGCAGGACTGATGCACAGTTGGTGCTTTCACATCTATTTTTGAAAATTCATTAAACATACAGAGGAAGGCTTTTGGCACCTTGCATCATGATTTCACCACCTTCAGCTCCTACAGCAGCATGTCTGGTGTTGTGTCTCATACAGTTTTGCACTCCATGACTTTTGCAGTGGCATTATCAAAGTATTTGGTGCAAAACTGTGACTCCAATTAATTCTTACTATTCTATTCTAGCTTTATTTTAGCTTGCTTAATTTATTTAAGTAATGTATGGCTCTTCTACGTTAGGCACTGCATTTCTTATATCATTTGTTTTTTCTGAGCAACATCTGGCACAAGAATTAATCAAGTTTTATCTTCTCTTTATTTAGTAAAGGATACTGATGATGAAAATCAAGTTTTTAACCTTGCTATCATGTCCATCTGATGTTTTATTTATATTCCAAAAGACATATCATAATAGAAATTAAAAATCAACACTATGGCTGAACCTTTCCATCTTGAAGCTGCAGCCAATGAATGACTCTCAAAAGCACGGATTCAGACTTCCAAGGCTCACAAACCTAAGAAACGAATCCTGCCAACTTACAGGGTTGGTATTTCCTTCTTATTATATTTCCTTGCCTTCCGGGTCAAACTCATATAGCTGAATCACTTCAATATTACGTAGAGTAGTCGTACAGTGTTTAAACAGAGTCATAGATGAGCTGGTGTGCTCCAGCTGCAGGCAAGCGGCAGAGGGCTGAATTCAGGAATGGTGGGGACTAGTTTGCATATTCATAAATCCATGTAAAGTAAAGAGGTCAAAGGCATTTTAGGGAACAAAGGGCTTATTTTCATGAAAAACTAACAACACCTTGGTTTAGTAGTCGTAGTAGTAAGTTCAGACAGAACACCTGTGCTAAAGATTCATCCAGCAGCTGTAAACTTCATCTCAGCTTATCGTAGAGTTTCACAATGAACTTGCTGTTGCCTACTTAGAGAATCAGGGAGCTTAAGGGGTGTTTTGTGAAAACATCGACTGCCTGCTGGAGCAGAAATACAACCACAGTTTTCATACCATTATTGCTTGACAAATATTTTATCAAGCAAAGTTTTATGGGGGATTTTTAATAATATTTTGGATTCTTTTGTGAGTGGTGAAATAAATCATCTTTACAGTATTTTAGCTGAAAACTGAAAGACGCACTCTAGGTGTAAGTCAGATTTTGGTTAATTTGCTAAAAAGGGGCACATTGTGGGACCTTTAGTGTGTACATACATGTGTGCATCCTGAGCTTGTGGCGATGGGGTATCTAAATGGCGAGTGGGAGGTGAGACCCATAGTCTGTTGGCTGCCACCGTGGTAGGACCCTCTGCAAGGGGAAAGAAGATCAGCCAGAAGCTTCATAATGGACTTATTAGTCATGAGAAGATCTATTTTTGACCAAGTGAGACTTTGAATTAATGACAACAGGCCTGAAAAACGTCTGTGAACTCTAATCTTTTACAGTATGAAAGCCTCTTGCAGAGTGGTGTTAAGAACTGGCAAATACATTTCTTCATTTTTGGTGTAATTATGAAGCATAAAGATGAGACACATACCTGAAAGCGATGATGTCATAGTTGCCGGTGTAGAGCCGAGCCAGCAGCATCGCCAGGTCGTTGGCTTCGCTGCCGCTGTTGGTCAGATATATCACCTGGACAGGATAACAGACAGCACATCGTTTTAGCCACAGCCCACAGGAATTATCGAGGTTCTTAAATCCAACATGGCACCTTGAGAGGATCCGGTAGGTGGGAGGCCAGTTTCTCACAGTACTCGTTGATTGGAGCGTTGACGTAGATGTTGGTGGTGTGCCACAGTTTCTTCAGCTGCTTCTCTGCTGCTGCTGTCACTTTCCTGTGCACACAGATGCCAGTTTTGACTGAAAACTTTATCTCAGAGTAAACGTACAATCATTGAGTGACACTGCTAAGATAAGGAACCTTACGGGTGGCAGTGACCCACAGCCACAGTAGCAACGCCAGCAAACAGATCCAGAAATCTCCTCCCATCCACATCCCACAGCCACTGCATGTGTCCCTGGTGGATGAACACCGGTTTCTTATAGTAGGTAATCTTGGTGGTCATGGGGCTGAGGTTCTTGCTGCGGATCTCCATGATGCGCTCTTTGGACATGCCCTGAATAGACATAAATACACAGGAGAGAGGAAAACAGGAGGATCTTCACTAGAGTAACATGAGTTGACAACTGTTGCAGGTGTGGTAGCCCAGTTTTGGGGTTTATTAGGTTACACTATTTCTTGGGTTTTTTTGGGTTTGGGGGTTGTGTTACTTTCCTTTGGAGCTTATGTGAAATTAAAATAATTTGGTTGGATTTGTTGGATCACAGGTGTAGCATCCTCTGCTGGTCACTTGTTTGAACCAAGTGTGTCGTCTTTGTGTGGTCGTAAGACAAAGTCACGGGTAACTCTCACTGTGGTGGATGTTGTTGCTGACCGATGTCCGAGGGTTGCAGTTTGCTCGTAATCCTTGGATTTGATGGGATTTTATATATATATTTTTACAGAGCTCCGAAAGGGACATGGAGAAATTAAAAAAACAGGGAGAGGAAAAAAAAATAGAGGTATCTTTTGCAAGGTCTCGCAAAACTTTCTTGGGATCTCGCAATAACTTTTGCTTATTGGACGTTGTGTGAAAACTGTGCCTCTTGCTAAGCACTGCTTAAATGTCTTTTAATTTTAGGTCGATTTCAAAATAAAACTCAATGAAACTCTTGTACGGGTGGGTGTCCTCCATTCTCTTTTCTCCATACTGCCAATAAGATCCAGAAATATATATACCGCCAAGGTGCTCCCTACATAGTTCACTTTATAGTGGTCCCTATATAGTGAGTATGGAGTGAGTGGATGATTTCGGACACAACCCTATAGTTTTGTGAGATCTCACAAAAGATACGTCTAGTTTTTTTCTTTCCCCTTTCTCCGTTTTTTTTTTTTTTTTTTCTTCTCCATGTTCCTTCTGGGGCTCCGTAATTTTTGTAGGTCAAAAGGTCAACCTGTAGCTCTTAAGTAGTCAGGTTAATCTCCATAATGATTAATAATATAGAGTCTTAGCCCTTATATTTATAATAGTTAGGTTAAGTTCTATACTGTGTAATACTGTAGGGTCTAAGCCTCAATCTATTATAGTCAGGTGTTTTCTAGAATTGCTGTTGGGTTTTAATCCCCAATGGGTAAAACCACATAATAAATGACACTCTAGGGTCCCCTGTATTTAAACTTGTTAAATTAATTCGTAATCATAATCTTTATTAACAAGACAAGACTTTGGCGCAAAGGTTGTTATTTTAAATGTGCTTTATAAAGAAGTTGTGGCGACTTAAATTGACTGAGTTAAAAAAAAAAAAAAGAATAAAATAAAATAGAATAAAAAATAAAAGTGGAAATAAAATGAATAAATCTAATAATATATATTTTTTATTTTTTAAATTATTTTTTTCATCATTTTTATTTTTTAAAATTTTATTTTATTGTTTTTTAGTTGTTTTTTTATTGTTATTATTATTATTTTTTTCTTTTTGTAATTTGTCACTCTCACTGCTCCATAAGAAACCGTCTTAAAGTTTAATATGTTTCAGGGAGTTACATTGTTATTTGAAAAAGCCATCCTGTTTCTTTGCGGTGTTGAATTCTGGTGCACTAACTCCTCGAGTGTCGTGAACTTTAGAAGACCTCTTCTCATAAGAATATCCTCTTCTCACAACTGTTAATCTTTTATAACAGCGAATGAGTCTCCTTGACGTTGATGAACAGGGAGGCACAGTGCAGTTCAGGTCACAGGTCTGTTCACTATCGCGTCAACAATTTGCAGGTCAGAAGCAAAATGGTCTCGTATGGTTTATGGTGACCAAGGGATGCTGGATTATCTGCTCTACTAAATATCAGTGAATCATTTATTCAGATGTTCTCTTCCACACTTGCCCTTGCTTCTATCTCAGCGACCTTGTTGATAATGTTACCTCCTAAAATTGCAAATGTTTTGCACACCATGGCACCAACTAAGATAAGCCAAAAGGAAGACTTTGTACATTTATTTCTTGACACAGGTGAATAGCAGAGGGACAAGCTTGTCCAGATGTTTCCGACAGACTCCTGCATACTGTAGAATTTGCAAAAAATAGATTTATTAGTGATGTTTTAGTGTTAGAGTGTATGCCAGAGTTGGATGAAAACTTTTGGTAGAAAAAGAGCACCACGGAGAAATGTCCCACTGATAAAAATCTGACAGAAATAGAGTGTCGGGAAGCTAAGTACACAACACTTACTCCTTTATTGACACTGCCTAAAACAAACATGCCTTATAAAAACTTACATATGCATTTATTTTCAGCAGGCTTCACTACTTTAACTATCCTTATAGGTGTCTCTAGACAGTCTATCAAACAGCTACAGGAAAAAAAGCATCGACCCAGTTCTCACATTTTTACGCCAGTTTTAGAGGCACGTGGATTACAAATAACTGAATGTGTTTCTGATCTCTGTTCTACAGATCCTTTCATGATTCAGAGAGTCAAAACTAAACATGAAGTAGCAGCATTCAGTTTTTATGCTCACGTCTCAATCAGATCACCCAAAAAACTGAAATCTACTAAAACTCCCAGTTCTTCATGGAGCTAGTTGTGTCTTTTTATCCTGTAACATTTCTTTTATATCTTGTCTTGAGGCATTTTGGGTCTTATGTAAAGCGCTTTATAGTCTTGTTGTCAAAAGAGAACCTTTAATTGCTGTCAGTACATTGTAACATGTCTGCTGTACGATTGCTGATAATCTTAATGTCTGCAATTAGGCAATATCATATATGGAAGGAACCTTTTTACAGTTAATCAGTAGAACTGATTAATATCTTTATTACTGAGGTCATTAGAAAGTCCAGCAGCAGCAGCAGCACAGCGCTGACTAGATGCCACATCAGTCTTACCGTGTATTCCTGTGGTTTGAAGTTGCACGGGGGCATCTCCGAGAGCTCTGCAGGACGGTATTTGAAGGCTGATTGTTGACATACTGCCCCTGTGAAGTAGTTTTAAGTAAAATTCATAAAGAGAAGTAGATTGTTGTCCAGACTCTGAAAAATTCCATGAGTCTTGAATTTGGGCAAGATTCAGTGATAGTTTTTGTAAAAATCAGTTTGGGCATTTTATCCTTATAATGTTTCTATACTGTATTGAAGACCAATAATCAGATTTAATCATTATTTGCCAGTGACCTGTCAGCATTAAAAAAAAAAATTAAAAAAAATCAAGAAAAAACCCCAAAACATTTTGATTTATTGACAAATACACACCCAGCATCAAATGTTCGTTATGGATGTACACTCTATTGTTTCAGTGCTTAATGACCTGGTCAATGTTTAATCAGACTGAACATTAGTTAATGGTTTAACCACATTATCGTAATCTTGTACTACGCAGGAAAGGGATGTTTCCTGTTTTTCCCAGACTATGGACAACCGGAAAATGTCAGTCAGAACTGGTCTGATTGGCAAATGTACACTTTATATGATCCAATAAAAAGTCATGCCGTTGCCCTTGTTAAAATGATCTACCTTGAGCACAGAAATACAGAGATTATGTGAGATTATATACATGTCTAAAATAGCATTTACTCAACTCTGTTTAAGCATCCTCCATTAAATCACTTTGTTTCAGAAACATATGATAATAATTTTACACTTTTGCAATGTTTTCAGCTGTCATTTAAACTGTCTGCACTTGTTTGGCACCTTTTCACCTCAGTGGTACTCAAAGTACTCCACAATGTGTTTCTTATTCACCCATTCATTCACACACCAGAGTGACAAAATGCCAACTTCGGGCTCAGTATCTTGCCCAATGACACTTCAGCATGAGTAGAAGCCGGGGATTGAACCGCCAACCTTGCAATCAGCAGACAACCCGCTCTACCACCTCAGCTGTAGCCGTCCAACTTAATTTGGTTTGATTCAGTGGTGTTCATTTTACATACACGTCTAAATAGCATTGTCATAACTCAACTTAATCATCCTCCATTAAATTACTTTTGTTTCAGAGGAGATAACGTGACAGAATTTTAGAATTTTAACTCTGCAATGCTTTCAGCTGTCATTTAATTTGACACAGTGGCGTGAATTTATGTCATCACATCTGTTTGTGATTCACAGTGAAGATACTGTGTCGCCTTCAGTTTCCACTGAAGATCACAATAAAATAGTTTAACTATTGTTTTTTTTTGTTTTGGTCAGATTCCTTAGTTTTACACAAACACTGATTCTCCTGCCCTACAGTCACATTAGCTAATTAGTTAATGAATTTCCAAGAGGATAAAATTCCCGAGAAAAAGTGATGAATATTTGTGTCCATCATGATAAATGTAAAAGCTGCATAAAATACCACCTTATGCAGGGTCTGCAAGCTTCATTGACAGATCATCAAATCATGTCTGATGTCCATGGTAACTCACCTCTTCCAAGGTGAAATCTGGCCACACTGGTTGAACAGTTGACCTGTCCTGTTAAAGGTGCACAGCGGCCACTGAGGTGTGATACCACTTTATACATGTTGAGCAGCTACAGAGGGTCTTCAATTCTTCTTCCTTCACTGTGTGACACTCAGCAGCAGCTTCAGGCCTTTTCTATAAAGTGGGTGGACAGCCTGCAGCCAATGGTACCCTGGTCCCACCAAATTACTTTGAGTGTGTCACGGATAAATATGTAACCAGCTGAACCTATGATTAGATGTTCAGATAGTTGGTTGGTTAGTACCGGTTTCTGCCTGCTGCAGGATGCAAAATATGCCAGCCTCACTCTTAAGTAAGTGGCAGTCCGATGTGTGTTGTCTTTCCCTCCTACAGCAAGAAAAACAGGGCTGTGTCTGAAGTGGGAGTTGCCATGGACTCAAGCTCTCCTGCTGTGCAGCCTTGGCGTTGTTTGTTTGTTTAGAGCTTTAAGTTCAATCAAGTTGCCTTTTCAAATGTATCATATGGTGAAAATCCATTGTAACCGTGTTTTGCATGTCTGAGAAACTTTGTGGTGCAAAATTAACTCCATAAGAACATGAAGACTCATTCTTCAAGCTCTACCTCAACTAGATGGCCTCCAACCTTTACAAACTGGTCTGAAATCGTTTAGATGCTAAGCAGGAACTGAGGAACCAATAGTCGACCAGTTCAAACTTATATAAACCTGCCCTTCCATGGCCCGCTGCTCCCAGATGAGCCATTCAGGAGGAGTTGCTGCCTCACAGCCCGCAAGCTTATTTACTGTCTCGACCTGCTTCTGCTAAATCTAAAATGTGTCAGCCATGAACACAGCACACAGATGTTCTGCTGTTAACCGCACGAGTGAACACAAGAGTATTCACGCACTCCCAACACCTGAGGAACAGAAGACCCAGTGGATTACCTGTATTTTTGATGCCAATGTCACCACATGGGACAGACCTTATTGGCTAATGGTACGTATACGCACAGATCAGATCTCTGTGGAAACTGTAAATACAGAAATGGTGGAAACTTTAAGACAATAAACAAGGACTGGATGGATCACTCGTCATGTGATCAAATATGTTTGCTTCTCGCCTGCTCTATGTGCTCACATACACTGGATGTATGTGATGATACATGATTCTGTTCCTGTTATCAGACAATGGACGAGTATAAAATGACTGAATGCAGCCTGATAAGATTACAGAGCCATTCCCAAGCTGCTACTAGGAACCGCTAAAATACTGATTTTAGATGCTTTGCTGCCAATCAGAGATCGAGAAAGTCTTCTACCTGAAGGCGAGCAGGACAGGAGCAGCTCCAGACACTGAAACAGCCTGTTTAGAACGAGACTAAAACCAGGAGTTAAACACACAGTAATGGTGAAGTGAACTATCTGTGCAGTATTTTGAGCTGAAAATGGGAAGACTCATTGTGGCAACATGTGAGACATTTTATTAGTTTGCTGAAAAGAGCTACAATATATGACCTTTACTAATCAGCATGCTGCTCTCATAATCCTTGTTTATAGCTTCAGCAGGCAGCCACTCTCAGTTGCCCCTGTTCTCTGCCAGCACAGGCACTCATAACAACAGCTTCCATCATGTGTGACAAAGCCAAGCCTTTTGTTAAAGTGAAGGCATCAGCACCACGCTATCTATCTGTTCACAGCACTTTGGTTGAGACTGATGAAAGCTTTACTTGCTTAATCCTCTTTGTCTCCTGTACGACTGAATGAGTGCAATGAATCTTTTCCTATCTGTGGCACATCTGGTTTCCTCCATTAGGTTACTTTAAGTTAATCTAAGATAGCTCAACTGTCGCAGTTCTGTCATTCCATCTCCAATGTTTTCTTTGAATTCATCTCAGTACAGACTTTTGCATTGTTACCTGCCTCCATTTGAAGCCTGTGGCCCTGTTCTCACAATAGTTTTACCTTATTTTAGAAATGTTTTTCTTTTTTGTTTAATTCAAAATTTGTGATCAGATCAAGGAGAGGCCAAGAAACCTTCCCCTGTAAATTTCATACCAACTTGATATATATAGCAGATAGCAACATGGCCTAGAGAACATATTACCATACTGTATGCTGTCATTGGACTGGTTAATATTTCGTAAAGGTTCATCATCTTGGTGGTACTTCACAGTTTGAATTGGCCACCACTGAATCTTATGAGATGAAACTAAAACTTCTGGCAAGCATATGTAGATTTTCAAGTGCAGACATAAAGCAGACAACGTATCTCTTTAAGTTTTATTAAAAGTCCTGCAGTATGCAAGTTTTTTGAGTGCAACAATTTTCTATTTCATATTACAGTAAGCACACTTTAGTGAACAGTCCTGGTTCTTGCATGTGGATGTTTGTTACTAATACAACTGAATATTGTCCCATTGTTTCAAGAAAGCTGTCTTTTGTTAGCTTGTGAAATCCACATTCAGTAGGTCCAAAAGTAAAGTCAGTTTTTAGAATGGCACTATTGAAAATGTCCTTTCATTTAAGTAGTGAAGTGTGTTACATGTCTGTTAAGTCTTTGTAATTACAACATAGTTCATAATACTTTTAAAAACATTCATTTTCATGATGCCTATGCAAAGGCAATAACAGAAGTAGTCTTCCTGAGAAGGTCATAATGATTAATTCTGACATTTTCACATTTTAAAAGATGTACAAAAAATGCATATCACTGCTGAGCATGTTTGGACCTTGGCACGGAGAAATTCATCTGACCAGTATCTGGCTTTCATCTTTTTTCCATGTAGTTGTGGATGGACTTGTTAAAAACTGCCAAGAAGAAATCTGCGTCTTCCATCGTGATGCACATGGGAGGTTTGATGCGGAAGATCTTAAGAGGTGAAAAAGAAAAAAAATCAGATATGCTAATACTAAAGAAGTATACAAGCAGGTTAAAGCAGTAGAACTTGACTATATTCACAGGACAATTTTCTAAGGCTAAAAAATTGAGTGTTCTTAAATTCAATATGCTTCTTGGTTTAATTTGACTTTTTTTGTGTGAAAGCTGGAGTCAGTTTTGGTGATGATGTGCTTAAAGGTTTAGATACAGTTTCCTCTTCAGTTAACAGGTTGAGAAATAAGTACATTTGGAGTCTTTAATGGTTAAAGCATGAACACATATGTCCCCTTTTTTTTACTATGCAGCTAAAATATTAAATGCTTGCACTATTTTGTTTTATAGCAGAGCTTGAGGCATAACTATCCAACATCGTTTTACTGAAGACAGCTGAACCGCAGAATCACAAAATAGTGGTAATATTTTAATGTATGAATCTTTTTGTTGAGCTACTACTTAAAGCAAAATGGGTATTTGCAAAGTGATGCAAGGTGAAAAAGTAAGTACAGTGGATGTAAAGCTGTGTGACTAACTATAAGAGGAAACTATTAACTTTGTGATGTAGGTGTAAAGAAATTCTACTTAGAGAGAGACAGAGGACGAGTGCTGTTACCTGTCCGTAGACTCCTCCTTTCCCTATCAGGACTCCCATGTCCTTGACATCCTCAAAGATCTCTGCCATCGCCTCGGGAGGCAGCGGATCTCTGCTGTCCTGTAGATGACAGAGAAGATAGATGTGACTGGAGAAACTGAAGTAACTTAAACATTGTCCAGCTGCTAGTGTCTAATAATTATCTTGTTGTGGCTCATAGTGTCTGGCCTCTAATTGCTGATTAGCTTGAGAGGCTACACATGTGAAAACTGGCAAGGCCAACTCGTGCATACGATTCCCACTATTAGACACCAACAGCTACAGTTTTAAAGACTAATGATACCAAATGTGTAAATAGCAGGCCCTTCAAACAGCAGCAGGAAATCGTACAGAGGAAGGATAATGAACGCCTCGTGCTGGCAAATCAGTTTGTAATTTGAACTGTAATTCAATATGCTGAATAGTATTTTTCACACAGAACGTGTAGTGGTGAGATACACCATTCCTCCAAGGTCAGTACTCCAGAATGATATTATGTTTTCGAGATGTTGGGTGTGATGGAAAATGGGCAGAGCACTAAAAAGAAAAGCATCCAGGAAACAAAGATAACTTCCCTGTTATTTGCACATTCCAAACCCAAAAGTTATCATTCTGTTTTAGGTTACTGAGATTCACAGAAGGAGTTATTCAATTTTAGATTAGATTAGATTAGACTAGATAGAACTTTATTGATCCCTTTGGTAGGGTACCTCAGGGAAACTGTTGAATTTTATGGTCTGTTTAAACACTTGGTCCCTAAATAAACAAAAGTTATGGGCACAGAAGGGATAAACCATTATTGTTAAACTTACAGTATAGTATATATAGGACACAGGGGAAAACTGACTTAACTCAAGATGACTAAAGAATTTTGATACATAAGAAGGACTTAAAAAGGACAGAATGCATCGTGCTTGAATAATACATGCCCTGTTAAAAAGTGGAGAATTCCTTTCAGGTTTTTGAAACTATATCCAGGACTTCAGTATTTCATTGAATCTAAATGCAGCATTGGATTCACATGTTTAACCCTGAAATTTGTAATTTCTTAGAAGACTAAGCAGTTTTGGAGTAGCAGCCTAAGTAATTACTATTCACCATCTGCAGCTACAGCCTGAAAATAGGATGATATACCTTGATGGTTAGCATGCAGAGTAAAACTAAATATAAGTGTACAATTTTAACTGGGAGATGGTTTAACTAAAGAGGACCACAGAAACACTCTGACTGTCCAGCAGTGTTACAGAGGGATGCTTCTTCTGCTCCAATAATTTAGCAGTGGTGTTGGATTTGAAGGCTGTTTCCTAAAGTTAACCCTCTGCAGCCTGAAACATGTGGGCAGGTTTGAGAGGTGTGTTTTCTTTATCAGTGCAAGAAACTGTAAAAACACAAAGAACAGTCTCTTTTCTAACTTCCCATCAGTCCGTGAAAATATCATGTGATGTGCGGGTCTGTCTGGAAACATAACCAAAACAGAAGCTTAAAATTGTAATATTTCATCAAAATCGCTTTCTTTTGTGTTTCATTTAAGAATGAGTTTGTTTGCATCAGGTGCTGTAAAAAACAAAAAAAGTCAGCTGTGACCAACAGTCACATCATAAAACATTTGTTGGTGGTGACCTGCAGACTGTGTTTACACAGAGCACAGAGGAGTCCACAAGAAAGAATGAGGAAAATAAAACTTGATCAATAAAATGAATACTGCACGGTTTACAATCAATACACAGGAGCAAGTTGTTGGAAGATACATTTAGCATGGTGACATAGCTTTCTGGAGTTGATGTGCACAGTAGTGTGAAAACCACCAAGGCTGTAGAGGCTGTAAAAATGTGAACAGGCAGATAGATGACCTGTAGCAGGGGTGCCCAATCCTGGTCCTCGAGAGCCCCTATCCAGCATGTTTTAGGTGTTTCCCTCTTTCAACAGACCTGATTCAAATGATCAGCTCATCATCAAGCTCTGCAGAAGCCTAACAACAATCCTGATCATTTGAATCAGGTGTGTTGGAAGAGGGAAACATCTAAAACATGCTGGATAGGGGCTCTCGAGGACCTATAGCGTGTTTGTTTTTTATTTTTTTTACAGTACAGCAAACCTGTGGCTACTTGGAAAAAAAACCTTGTACACATTGATTCCAGTTTATTTTAGTAAAACAGATAATTACGGATCTTTTCCTGTTTTAATGGCCTTGTACTTATGTCATCCTGCACCGAAAACGTTTTTGAGTTCTCTCTACTTCTAGCCATGGTTGTGCTGTTTCCATAGAGATGCATGACTTTATAGTGCAGTGAAAAATTAGCCTGCAGTGAGTAAAAATGTCACAGGAGCAGAAAAAAAAAAGTACTTAGATACTGCTTGGAGTTAAAGGGTTAAGTAACAGAAGTAACTAATTTAATTAGTTTGTGACTCCTGATATGACCTGCTGTAAATTTAATATGCAACAGCGGCGTTTGCCGACTGAACAAGAGAACTGCTGCCTGAGTGTTTTGCACATTGATTTTTGCTCATAATTTGTCACAATCACACACTGACAGGTCACTTGCACAGCAGAGCACTGTGATGACATTGAGCAATCACTAAAAACACTACGCTAAAAAAGAGGAACGTTGGTCCTAATTATACCCTTGACAACACTAACACAGCAGGGTATTCTGTAGAGCAGCTCTGCAATTGCCTCAAAAATGTGTTTACTCAAAAGACAGCGACAGCTCACATGTACTGTCTTATTTTATCAAAAGTTTACTTCTTCCCTTCACTGGCTCTTTTCAAATATTAAATGAAAAGCACCTCAGAAGTTTAGGCAAAAGGACATACTTCTGATGAGTTTGTTTTGTTCGCAGTTACAGATGGTCACTGCTGCTGCTGCTGCTAATGTTTAACTGGGGCGCTGCTGAACCATGCCCCCGGGAGGCACAGCACAGACACACACGTTGTTCCAGCATGTGAGGAGAGCCGAGTGTCACTTCTGTCACAAACCTTGTCTTTGACCATTTCCACTCCGATCTGCAGGCCTTTTCCACGGACGTCGCCGATGATCTCATACTTGTCTCTGAGCTTTGCCAGCTCTGTCATCAGATAGGTGCCCACATCCAGACTGATCTTCTGTGTGCCATCCTCTCTGATAGTCTGTCAGGTTATAATTTAGTCTGCAGTTATGAGGCTATAGCTTTTAATCACAGCTTCAGTTATAATAAATAAATCATTATTGAGCTCTCTTGTGTTGATGAATGGGACTGACGCAGAGAGGGAAGAAGAGTTCTTACGTCAAGCACCGATGAAGCAACGGCACAAGCCACAGGATTTCCTCCGAAGGTGTTGAAGTGAACCCCCTTGCCGAACGAGGCTGCAATTTCTGGAAAACACACAAACAAACAAGCTCACACCTCCAACCGCTGCAAATTAAATCATCAACCAAATCATAAATCAAACTGCATGCAACAAAAATACCTGCAAAAATGTTAAAAAGAAAGGATTTAGGATGACATAAAATAATTAAAAAAGTAGTATGTTACTCAGAGAGCACTATGGCAACTAGCTACCTCAACAAATAACACAAGAAGCAACCTGAGATCACACATTCATCGACAGAAATAGATGTTGGATGGCATGAGGATACTCTTTATGAGCTCAGACAAGAATCATCAGTGAAACATAGAGATGAGGGTCAAGAGGGCTCATTTAGTCTGAACATCAGTTATGGTTTTAGAACATTATTAATCCCAGTACAGGTCTCACAGGCTTCTATGAGTGTGCTGCTAATGGGACTGTTCCCTGACTTCTTCTAATGACTGTTCTCTACTGTACCTGACTTTATAGCCTGCCAGAAGTGGTGAGTAACAACCTGGCGATCTATAATTCGCCCACATATGGAGCATCATTTCTGGTCTGCCTAGCATTAGGAATTGCTTAAAATAGTTTAAACGCAGAATAAATAAGAAGCTGCAACAGTTAGCTGTTTTTTAATATGTATAAAAACACCCAGATGTAAATGTGTTGTTGCTCTGAGGTCTTAAATCATTAAAATAAAACTGTACGATTCGTACTGGCGACCTGTCCAGGGTGTCCCCTGCCTTCACCCTAAGTCGGCTGGGATAGGCTCCAGCCCCCCGCGACCCTAGTGAGGATTAAGTGGTGTATAGATGATGGATGGATGGATGTACCATTTGTTACTCTCACAAAAACAGTGTCTCACCTCTTGCCATGCTGCTCGCCAGTTTTATTGTGAAAATACTGAAGAACAGTAATTGATTTCCACTCTTTCTAACTAGGCTTACACTTTATTGAATACACCAAGCAGATTTTGAAACAAGGGTTTTGTGTCTTGCAGGTTCACCTCACCTGGTGTTGTGACCACAGCTCCCATTGGGAATCCATTGCCGATGCCCTTCGCCATCGTAACCATATCAGGAATGACGTCATGGCCTTGGTAACCCCAGAAGTGGGTCCCAGTTCGCCCAAATCCAGTCTGAACCTGCCGGGTGCAAAACAGGTGATTAAGATTATTTACATATTTATTCTGCTTGCTTGAGAGATGGAAACATATTAAAAGACATCACATTAGTGCTTCACCTTAGAGAGCCTCGTATTGGGTGTTTGCTTTATATGTTGCTCTCTTGGGCAGAATTAACAGCTCATGTGTGCAGAAGTCTTAATCTTTAAAGATGTCTGTTAAAGACAGGTAGTAACTCTATTCAAACAATGACTTGTTGGCATATACGCAGCAGGTGTTTCGCTTTTTTTAAGAGCTGTATTAAGGAATGTTTATAGATTAACAACAGTTCAAATGACAACATATAATGTAAAAGAAGTTACATGAACAAACAACACTGCAGTTTCCATCAACTGTATCAACAACTTTCCACTCATTTTTTAAATAAGTTTTTATTGTGTTTTATTTGCTCTCATGTGTGGCAGCTGTTTTTCTGTACTAAAGTGTGAAATCTCCTCTATACAGTAATTTGTGGCAGGTTTGAAGCATTTTAAGTTGTAAACAGAAAATTCATCCAAAAATATGTAGCTAACCTCATCAGCAATGCAGACTCCTCCTCTCTCTCTTACAAGTTTGTAGGCTTCCTTCAGGTAGTTTTTAGGGTACTGCACAGCTCCTCCAACTCCCTGTATGAACCAGACAGAGACATCCCACAGCACCATGTTAATCAGTGCAAACCCTCGTCAAAGTTAACTCGAGGAAAAAACCAAACAAACATGTGTTGCGTAATGAAAAGGCCTTCATTCTACCTCTTCTGTATTTACTTGAAAACACTACATCAACGGCATACGGTAAATAAAAGAGTAATATTCAAAGTGGCACATCAGCCGATTAGCAAAAGACATAGATGTGAGTAACAGTTACAACATGCTGATTATGTGATTAGATTTCAGGTAATGCTCCACAACAGAATACAGCACCTGAATAGGCTCTCCAAAGAAAGCAGCGATTCTGCTTGGGACACTTGTGGCCAATGTTTCTTTGAGCTGTCCAATATAATGTTCATTTGCCATGCAGTGACCTGTGGGAGAAAACAAAGACAAGCCCTTCAAATCAAACTAACGCAGACATTAGCATGTGTGAGAAAACATTCAAAAAATCTAACATGACAGTTATTAAATAATAAGTTAAAGTCAACCAAATAACTTATATTTGATTGTTCTATGTGGTTTTGATTATTTTTGCAGCTGTCTTGTATATTGAGTGCTGAGATAAGTAGCTGGGTTGTGGGTGATTGATATTATATTTATGGATAACGGTTGTTTGTTTTGAACAGTCATGCAGACATACTGACCATTTTCATGTCGACCCTCTAGCTGAGGTACTGGAATACTAAATAAACTAACATTCCTGAAAGTGGTAAGAGGTTAAAAGAGGTAAATGATCAACAGTGGGAGACTTTGAACTTCATGTTATGAATTCAACACGTATTTTGCCTCATTTTCAGGGTTCTGACTGATCTGCTTTGCTGTCGTGACTTTGTGGCCTATTTTCTTTAAAGAAAAGCAATTTGTGGATTAAAACTCTACATGAATACAGTGGAATACAACAGTATATGATTTAGCTAAACACACATTTTTAATCCGTTACAGAGACGTGTACCTAAATTTAGAACCAGGCAAATACTATAATAGTCGTCTGTTGTGGAAATTCTGGAAGAGGTTGATGTAGGATGAGGAACCCGACACAGAGAGACACACCAGAGACTCAGACGGCTTAAGTTGAAATAAGGTTTACTGATCAGGAGAAGTGACGCTAACAGAACAGCAGTTCACGCATGCAATGTCAATTCTAAGGATTTCTCTCACACCTTTGGCCGTATATACCCTCTTTCGGTGGGGGCCGCATCCAGATTTATGGGGGAAAAGGCAACAAAGATAGCTCAGTGTAATCTGGCCTTGAGAGGTACAGGGAGTGCTTGCATGTCCTCCCACAATAGATCTGCATGAGGTCAAGAACCTATCGAAGATTTGCAGAGTGCACATCTGCTACAAATACTACTTATACATAAAGGGAGCTAAGGGGGCTTAACTCCAAAAGAGGAAAGTAATTTGTCCTTCACAAATCCCTCCTTTTTGATCATGAAACATAAAATGTGAGATTGTTTATTCTTCCAGACAACTGTGGTGCTTTGTTTGTTTATGAGAACAGTGTTGAGTCATAAGTGCATGTGCTTGTGTACCTTGGGCACAGCTACACTGTCTGACGGTCTGCACAGGAGAGTCCCTGCAGTGGCTTCCTCCCCATGGACCCCTGAACACGTCAGGACACATGGTCTGTTTATTGGGCAGAAGTCAGCTGAGTTAACCTGACAACAACAGTATTCATAATTTACAAGGCATCTAGAAATCATCACGAAGCGCTGCTCACCTCTCGTGTACTTCAAGTGAATACATGCAGTGGATGCAAAATGTAATTAGTTCAATTCGTGCACAGAATCCAAGATGCAGAGGAAACACAAAATATGTTTGGAATGACAGTTTGTTAACTCTGATGCATTTCAAGCTTAGATGTGTATTGCTTGAATCTAACTTGCAGATGATGCACAAGCATTTTGTGTGTGTGTGGCGGTATGTACATGTATTTTTAATGTGTGTGTTAATGTGTGAAAATTAGCCCTGTCTTCTACATATGTTTGTTCACCTGTTCATTTTACATGTTTGCCTTCTTAAAAAGAGAAAATATTATGTGCAGTGTCTAACATTATATATGCATATTTGTAATACATACATTTGTGCAGCCTAAACCGTTGGCAATGGGGTATTTATAGGCTGCGTTGGAAGTAAGACCCATGGTCTGTGGGCTGCCACCGTGGTAGGATCCCCTGGAAGAGAGAAACAAATCAGAAACATTATGGACATTTAGAGTACAGAAACTTTTCCTAACAATCAAGCTTTCAGGCTAGAAATAGATATCTGCAAACTATGCTGTTATATTCCTGAGGGGAGCTACAGTTTGTCAATAGCGTGCCTGTTTGTGCTTCATAAAAGTGTAGAATTTTGATTTAAGGTGAAATGGGTCAAACTAGCAGAAAACAAATAAAAGCATCTATTACCAGGCTGGAAAAATGCAAACACTGGCTGTGAATTTTAGCCTTGTTGCAAGCAATGCTACGTATGTAATGTCAAACATTACTATTCGAATTTATATCTTTTCATCCTGTTTACAGTATTATAATGTAATTAGGATATCTGTACTGACCATTCACAAAAATGAAAAACTTGTACCTTAAAGTGATGATATCAAAGTTTCCTGTGTAGAGCCGAGCCATCAGCATTGCCAGGTCATTGGCCTCTGAGCCGCTGTTGGTCAGATATATCACCTAGACAGGGAATCAGTCCAGCACATATGTTGATTACAGCCTACAAATTTATCCATGCTCCTGCCTGACTGAAATAAAAAAATCAACACCATACCTTAAGAGGATCTGGGAAGTAGGAAGCTAGTTTCTCACAATACTCATGGAGAGCAGGATAGACATAGATGTTAGTAGTATGCCACAATTTTTTCAGCTGCTGCTCAGCAGCTGCTGTTACTTTCCTGTGAACACAAGTATCAGAAAGGAGCAGTCAGTTCTGTGGAAACAGTGTGTGAGAAATTGCAAATACTATCACTGTGTGACACAGCAAAAACCAAAGGACCTTACGGGTGGCAGTGGCCCACACTGACAGTGGCCACACCAGCAAACAGATCCAGATATCGCCTCCCATCCACATCCCACAGCCACTGCATGTGTCCCTGGTGGACAAACACTGGTTTCTTATAATATGTAACTTTCATGGTCATGGGGTTACAGTTCTGTCTGCGGATCTCCATCATCCGCTCTTTTGACATGCCCTGGACACACAAAAACACAAGATAAGAGTTAGAGTAAAGGAGGAATCTTTCTGTTATACTTTGAACTGAACTTTTCAAAGTGTTGGACTGAGTGCATTCATCAGTGCAACTTGAGTCTAAGACTGTGAATGGGAAAATGCAGCTGTTCAAGACGGTTACAATAAATGTACAACCAACATTTATAGTTACCTGGTCTAACACAATAACATTCATATCTATTACTGAGGTCATTTTTATAATACAAGCCCAAACTGAGCAGGATAGAGACACTGTATGCCAGGTGATATTGCTATTACCTTGTATTCCTCTGGACTGAAATTGCATGGGGGCATCTCTGGCAGGTCTGTGGGAGGGCTTTTGAAGGCTGATTTCTGACATAATGCACCTGTGAAATAATTGTGATTGCAGTTAAGACAGAGAGGCCATAAAGACAGTCATTCATTTAGGAACTCTGTTAGCCCACTGTGGTACTTGGCAGAGGTTAGTATAACATTTCTGGGACATTTGTGAAGCACTCTGTTTGTTACACATTACATCATAAAATGATCTACAAACAAACATGAGGTGTGAAAATGTGCTTGCTATTGATGCTTGTATTGTTTTCATATTGTTCAGAATGGTCTTATTTGCATACCAGCAAATCTGTAAACCTGGCTGACACTGTAAACAAATGAAGTTCAACTTAAACCACACATTGCACAACACATGATAGCAAATGCTGCCTGTTTACTCCTGATTGAAAACTTTCTGCTAGAAGCAGAAAATGAAAACTATACTTTACAATGTCCACATCAAAAATCTGTATTTTTACAAATATTAATTTGCTCTCCTACAATGTTTGACCTCAAAATTACATGATTGTTTACACTATATTTAACTCAGCAAAACATATTAAAAAAACTGGGCCATTTGTAGAAAAAAAAAAGCATATTAAGGATCTGAAAATTATTATCTTTTAATTTTTAGACTTTTTTTTTGCTGTTTTCACAAATTATTACAGGTAATATATTGAAATTACAGAAATAAAAGGATATATTGAAATGTCGACTGTTAAAAAAAACTAAAACAACAACAACAAAAACCCAGCCCAAAACTGCAGATTTTATCTATATCAAAAAACTGTATTTTTCAATATGATACTGCACAATTTGACAGTTTTATGGTTTTTAATCCTCAAACAAAAAATTCAGTTTTACAGATATGTGCCTTTTTTCCTTTTTTTTTTTTTTTTTTTTTTTTAACAGTTTTGAACATTCAATGTGTTCCACCATTTTAAAAAGTATTTTTTTCCGGCCTTGCTGCCAGATTTCCACCTTTTTTAAGGGATTTTTTTTTTTTTTTTTTTTTTCTACAGCTGGCAACTGTGTATAATGCATGTTTAACGACGCCTCTGTTAATCCAATTATACATTAGATAAAAATATTATTTAGAAATTATAAACTACGATAAAGTGTTTGTTCCGCTGATTTAAGCTACACCTCGAAAGCCGTCACCACGTTTTGTTTCAGCCAGTTGTGTTTACAGCCTTTAAAATCAGTCGTGTTTGGTTAGTTCAAAGACTTCAAACTTATTGACTAAACCTAATAAATCACTGCAGTATGACAGACACCAAGTCTAACTTGAACATACTCTGTGCACTGGTTGTTTACGCCGCGGAAACAGACATGAACCACCTCGTGAGGTCAGGATTCTGGTCGTTACCATGGTAACTCACCACTTGCCAAGTGGAGTTTGGCCAAACTGGGCGGTGAGCAGGACTGTCCTGTTAAAACTGACCGGCCACTGAGACAGGAAACGACTTTAAACATGTCGAGCAGCTACAGAGGACACTCAGATACTCCGCTTCTGTTACCGCTTAGCACAAGAAGACAAACTGGTTTCTCTGTCGATATAAAGTCACTTCAGTGGGCGGTGACGATCAGCGGACAATCACTGAAGTCCCGCCCCCTTTAACGTCACAGGCTGCGTGCGCATCGACAGGCTCTATTCATCCCCTTCCATTAAAAAAAAAAGAAAAGGTAAAATTCACAACAGTCACTTGAATAACTAGAAACTGAAAAAGTAATAATAGATTAAAGTTTGCTAAATTATAATTTTGTGAAATAAGACATTTCTTTTGAATTGTGGTTAAAAAGAACAATAATGAGCGCTCACCCGGTTGAGCGGACGACCCATGAACAGGGGCTGTAGTTCCCCGGCGCGGCGTTCGTGACTTCGATTCCCGCTCACGACAGTTTGCTGCAAGGTCTGTCCCCATTCTTCTCTCCCCTTTCCTGTCTCACTCTCTCACTGTCTTAACTAATAAAGACAAAACGCCAGAAAAATAATCTTAAAAAAAAACAAAAAAAACTGTCCCTGACAAATTAGAACACTTTACTGATGAGCAGTGGGCCAAAATCAAAATACCAGTCAACAGGTGCAGAAGTCTGACTGAGAGTTACAGAAAACACTTGATTGCAGTGATCGCCTCAAAGGTTTGTTCAACAAAATATTAGTTTATCGGTCCCATCATGCTTGTTTGCTTGTGTGTGCGTGTGTGTGTTTTTTAAAAATATTTCTATTGAACCACAATTCAAAAGCAATGTCATGATTTTCATTAAATTCTTGTTTATTATTACTTTTGTCAATTTCAGCTTACTTTAGTGACAGCTGTTTTTTTCCTTCTTTAATGGGAGGCTACGAATCAATTTGAGGACGACTGTATAAACTGTTTTCTGGGTCTGTACATGTACTTGGTGTGCAAATTTATACAGTCTGAGATGTAATTCCATTGCACCCATGGGTGTAGGTTTCACTTACACATCCACACTTAAACTTCCTGCATTTCCGCACCAATTAATCGTTGAAATGTCTTTGTAAATGTAAAGGAAGCACAAAATTCAGACATCCAGTGACAAATCAAAGTATACTGAACAATTGAGATTTATATATTTGAACTACTTTCCAATGTTGTTTTTTCAGCATGTTTTTTGGACATTAAAACTTGAGGCTATGTTTGGAATTGGAAGATAAGCAGTTTGAGCATCATTTTTGTAAAATATAAATCCCCAATAATACTCAGCTGGTTGATCCCTTTAGAGACATAAAGATTTAATTTCATTAGGAAGACCTTACTTGTAATATCTGACAGCAAATGCGCAAAACTTCCAGTAAACGTGATGACTGAGCCTTTCCACCTTGAAATTGCAGCCTCAACACACAGATTCAGACTCATCATTCATAGTTACCCCCAGTTTCCAGTCACAGACATGCAACTATCAATACACAAATACCCACAAGAAAAACAACACTTTGTTACTGCATCTTACAAATTTATTATAAATATGATTTTTTATGGCAAGCTTTTCAAAAAAGTTTAAGGGCTGTTTCAAACTGTATCATTAAAGCTATACACGTGTCAAGCTATTGGTATGTGTAGCTATACAGAAACATGTGCATGCACAACAAAAGTACATGTTGTACATGGCCATCCAAGCATTACGGCACAAAATATGTAATGTTTTTGTAAAAATATATATTTTTTTAATTTAGTAAATGTATTGACAGAAGAAAGTCAGTTTATAATGTCATAAAATAGAGTAGTTTACATCCACTTTCTTAGTTTCCTTCTTTTCAGATCCATATTCTGTATAGCTTTAAAATGTAAGGGTTATATAGCGGTAAGGGAAAATACACATGGACGAAAGTTGAACTAAAAACATCTGATGTAGTAGTTTATAACAGAAACAACAGTAGTATATTGATGAAAACAGATTTTTGAAAAGTTTATGTGCCTGAGAATGATGATTTATGGTAGACATAGAGTATAATCAGAATGACAACATGTAGTACCACATAATTCATACCATCAATTACCTTTTTTGTGAAGTTGAATGATGATTTACATCATTCAGCTCGTTGATACTTGTTAATAGTTAGTCTGACTCACTGGATTTAGACTAAGGGTATAAGCCTGCCAGTGGAGCTCTCCTACCTTTGTTTTCTAAATCTCCTCTGCTATAAGAAACAAAAGCAACACCCTCCAAACCAACAACCCACACTCTAAAAACGGCAGGTTTTGTTGAAGACTTGGATCGTGCAATAAGGCAGGTCTGCTCTGTTCTTACACTGAGTGGTTGTACGGATCTACAAAGAGCAGCATGACTAGCACGGATGCATGTTTGCCCAACAGTTATGGAAAAAGTTCCATTTTTTTTAAGCATGGTTCAACCAAAACAGGTTCTCTCCAGACTAGCAAAGACTCCATCACTACGTTGCAGCGTCATGGGCTTAATGCCAGAGTGTTAAAGTCCTCTACAGCAGAACGGTAATGAGTGCAGTCAGACTATTCTCCAGCACGGTGGAGACAGAGCTGCCTACTCGAGGCTGCTGCACTGTAATCAGTGAAAAGACGTTTCTCATGTGAGAAGAAGATGAAAAATAAATTATGGCCATCTTTTGACAACAAAATATTGTCTTTGCAACCACTGTTTGAAGGAGTCATCCAGTGTTTCTGCTTGTTGTCTTAGTCCCGGCCTACAACACGCATCTTGCAATGTCCAACAAGTTACGTCGCACCTAGTGAGTGGGCAGCGTGAACATGGTGGCAGTGTCAACATAACCATTCCCTGCCTTTTCGTCCTGTGCTGGCAGGGCAATGTGAATGCAGGGTATAGACTTCTGAGCAGAGCAGCAGTGTTCTGTCGCTCCACGTGTGTCCCGGTTCTCACAAGGGCACGCGTCCACCTGCTCTTCCATCGAGTTTCTCTGGAGCAGCAGCACATTGTTTTTATCCACCCCCTTCACCTTGCTGTAGTCCTCCCCCTGGCAGCCTTTTCCATGGCCGTGGCCCGAAGGAACGGGATGGAGAAGCACCATGTCCTCCTCGTTGACCCTGTGGACTTCGACGTACTCCGTAGACCGAACGGTGGGCAGCTGCAGGCCGACGGGTGCTTCCTTGTGGCCGATGCTGGAGATGTTGACATCACTGCGGGCCTGGAGATGCTGCCGGGCCTCCAGCTGCGGATGGAGCACGTGAGGCTGCTTGTTGCTGGAGCAGAAATCCCAATAGCTCGACCCGAGAGCCTCTTTGGTGGTCTGGCCAGGCTGAGTGAGGTAGGAGGATAAGGAGCCTGGGGGGAAGAGGCTGTCAGAAAGGCAGTGCTGCTTGGCCGTTTCAAGCGAGCTCGGTTGATTAAGTGGGCTTAAGCTGTACTGGGGCAGTGGAGAAAACACAGAAGGCCAGGTCTTCACCCTCCCACTAGACATATCAGGGCTGATCATATCTTCATGAGCGTATGTCAGCGCTTCCTGCTCCCAGGCCGCCTGCTGCCTTTGTGCCTCCGAACCTGTCTGACTGCCCTCCTGGTCTGTTTGCCGCTCGTCCTCTTTTGCCTCTCCGCACTTATCCATCAGCAGGGTGTGACTGTCGCAGCTGCCTCGGCCAGAGTCGCTGTCATACGTGGAGCCTTTTGGTTTGAGGCAGCCGTCATGTAGATCCTTGCTTTCCTCCATGATCAGTTCCTGCTCCTCTGGGATGTAAACCTCTAAATATTCCACCAGCAAGTCCTCATAGTTGGATGAATTGGTCGGGGGGAAATCAGACACCACCAGTGCGCTGAAGATGTCCTCTGACTTGCCGTTCTGCGTACAAAGAGAAGAATTGTCAAAGTCATTATAATATTTGATTATGATATGATTATTATGAGAGTTCTCGTATAATCAAGACATTGTTCATCATGGTTTACCTTGAGAAGTTGCTTATCAAATCCTCTGATTTTCGGACCTGGGACTGGTGGTAGGATGCAATCCTTCAGACTTCAAACATAAAAAAAAAAAAAAAAAATCAATGTCAGGGTTTGTGAGCAGAAGAGATGACGTGATAATTCAGATTAATATTTTCCTTGTTGTATGGTTTAAGGGTCTAGAGAGGCAGGGGTTATATAAACCTATTATTTTTAAATCTTCCCATTAAGTATCTCAAGTGTTTACATTTTATCATATTTTTTACTCTTAATGAATATCTAAAAATGTGAATAAGATCCTTCTGTGCAAGGACTAATATCATTCCAGAGCAATGTAATTTACCAGTTTTCTGAAAGGATTGTTTTTTTATTTTGAGGTAATGGTGTAGTTAATTCAAGTTTGATATATTTTAAATAATAATATAATAATGTAATATTTGTGTTGTGATTTTGATGTAAATGTAAAAACCGCTGTGGGTCTCTGTAGCAGAACATGCGGCTAAATGATTATGGAAAAATATCTAATTGTGACTTTTGTGACTTATATTGAAATTGCAATTTGATCAGTGATCTTCAGGTCAATATTTATTGTGTAATAGATTTAAAACACTGGATGAAGGGCGACTATATGAGATAGCATCAAAGGCATGACTGAGAACGAACACTGGGACTTTAAAGTCATAAAATAAATTGCTTAGCCCCAAAACGTATCACACACTTATAACTAAACAAGAAAACATGGGTGTTTTTTCAAAACTAACTCCCTAAACAGGTCATGATGGTTCTTACCTGTGGCCGTTTATGTGTATACACCATGTGAAGATGAGAAAGATGAAGGCGGAAAAGACCGTGACGAGGACCCACACTGACTTTTCCCGATGGAAATCTGCAGGACACAACATGCTGACGTGAGGGCTTCGACACAACAGAGACATTTGTACTGTTGTACTGTGAATATTACTACAGGATGTGGACACAGTCGACGATTTAAATTGCACTAAAATAGTTCACATTTCACAAAGTACGCTTATTCACTTCCTCGCAGAGAGTTAAGATTCTTTCCACTCTCATATCTGTCAGTCAGGTTAGCACAAAGACTGTAACTGTGAAAAAATACCAGCACCTTTAACAATGACTTAATGAACCCTTTATGTCTAGACTGTAAAAATGACAGATTTGGGAAATCACAGTGAAGAAATTCTCTGAAACAGAACCGGCACAGTGAACTAGATTTGCGATGATACCTACTGGAAGGTGCTTTTTATTTACCATTACAGATCCAGGCTGTATTTTGTTTTTAACCAGACTTCCTGTCCTAAATCTGGGACTGTACATATAAATGAACATCCCTGACATTCAAGCCTTGCCAGCTGAGTTCACACGATGCTGATTAAGCCTATCAGCGCCAGGTTAATCTGTCTGTATCTGGCAGCAGACCAGAATTTAAAATCTGGTGTCAGAGGCAACACTCCCTGAGGTAGATTTACATTCGCTTATTCAGATGCAAGATAGAAATTTCTCATGTAGTGTTCTTTACAAGTTATGAAGATCAGTTTCTGAAAGAGTAGATGCAGATTTTTACTGATGGATCAAAGGATCCAGTCTCTGGGAAAACTGGGTGTGAGAAGATCAGGCTAATTTTCAAATCCAGCAGAGCCCCACATGTCTGATAAATTGTCTGTTTAGCTGAGCTACTGGCAGTTTCATGGGCCACGTGGTGGATAAAGCCGGTCAAACCACATTAAAGTGTTACCTAATCGAATTCTGCGGCTGCCGTTTTAGCTTCCACGGACATCAGTGACCTGCTCCGGGAGATTTTGTACCGCTTGTTTAGGAGTGACAATATGATTTGTCCTGCAGGTTTTTTGTGTTCCTCAGTGGTTGAGGGAAATTACGTTTCTGCCAAATTAGCTAAGCAATCTTTTGGTCAAAGGAAAATGTTTATTTTTGAAGGGTTATGTTGCCAGGTAAAAACAGAGCTTGAGTGACAAAAAGAAGTGGAAAGAAGAACAAAGGGGTAGACATTTCTCTCTGCAGTCATCTGTTTGCCACAAGTCAACATCCAGACGGGGTGTGTCAGTGTGGAAATTTGGAAACAGCCCAACATGTTGTATTCTCATATAACAAATACAGAAGTGAAAGGTGGAAGCTTTTGTCCTTTTCTTTCAAGTGTACTTTTTTTTTTATCTGAAACTAATTTTTAATTTTTTCATAGAACAATTTTAGACCCTCTTTGCTCAACTGGCCTGTATTTAAACATAACAGCAAATTGTTGTCTGTAGAGGAAAACTTTACACTCTACAATGTACAGTCAGCCAGATGTTCATTTAGCTTTAATTATACTTCAATGCAGATGTGCAAAGGGACAGCTGTGAACACCACGGATGCATATAATGCAGCATTGCTAGTCTGTGGGTGTCTGTTTGGTGGACTCAGTTCTCTACATGAGCAGTAGGTTGAATCTACGTATTCCATGCATGCATGAGTAGGCACACTGTTGCCCTCGAAGGGTTGTCAACACAAGTTTTGAGTTACACCTTTATGGGCCTGGGGAGATAATGAATACATCGCCTGGATCCCAGCACACCCTTGAGAAGTCATGATGCAGAAAACACTGGCCTTAGAGGAACAATCCCATGTTCATACACCAGAAGTGATGCATTTTATGTCAACCAGCTGGTTTGCTAGAGTTCAAGAGGCGAGCTGGAGATAGAAACTATATAATAGAAACTAGGAGTGTGGCAGAAAAACCAAGGAAGGATCTAAGAAGAGGCTCTGATGCTCCAAGAGGGGTTACAGTCTGATTAAAGCCATTGACAGCGAGGCATATACTATGTGCACATGTCAACAGTGTTTGTGTAGTTACTTTCACTGCCAGAGGGGGGAGGTAAAAGTTCTGCGCTGCAGCTGTAATCCAGAGCTAAGCTAACTGACCCCTGGCTGTGGCTTCATGTTAAATGGACAGATAGGAGAGTGGTATCAATATCTCTCAGCAAGAAAAGTGGTTTAGCATATTTTCCAAAACGTCAAACATTGTGTCTTATAATAAAGAGTAAATATCATATACAGCGCCCTCCATAATTATTGGTTAAGATGTGTTAAAAGCCTTAAAATGAATTCAGTTTTTATTGTAGACGCCTACTCTCACACTGAAAATTGTAGAGAAATGTAACCTTCAATTCAACTCAAATGAATTGTTGGCAAAAGGGGGTTGTACAAAGTATTAACATCACTGGTGCTCATAATTGTGGCATACATGATTGGTTGTAAAAGAATTATTTTTTAGTGTGGGATTTCTTTCACACTGAATAAATGCACTTGAATTAAAGTTTGAATTTTCCTCGTTTTTTCATTGTGGTCCTATATTATTTAGAAAAAAAACTGAATTTACTGGAAGCTAAAGAACACATCTTAACCAGGGGTGCCAATAATTATGGAGGGCGCTGTATGCTATGTGTGGCCACTACAGTTGGTTGTTGGTGGATATCTTACAGTCAGGAACTTTGATGTAGGAAGTGGAACTCCATTCACTCCAAAAGCCATGGTCGGGCTTACAGCGCACCTGAATGAGGTATCTACCACCTGACCGCAGGCTGAAAACGTTGAACATCTTCTGCTGGCCTGCAAGGTGCATCTGTAAGAGCAACATAATACACATATCAGTCAGACCCTCAAGCTGTCATCACGTACAACACATTACAAAGGTTGTATAGAAAACAAAATAAAACTTTGTTTGGTTGTTTTATGAACCCTAAACATGCTGGAGAATCATCATGTTTTCAACTTTCCAGTGGCCCTTGTACTACTCATTTGTAACGTGCTGTTCTGTTGGAAAACTTAACCAAACATAAGCTTAAAATCATGATATCCAATTAAAATCACTTTATTCTAAACACCGACCGACTCAGCTGTGAGCTACAGTCACATGACAAAATTTAAAGGAATTTTCAGCTAAATTAGGCTGAGCTGTGTAGTAACACCACCTGGAGATAGGTGACAAGTATGGAAACAAATGAAAAATGTAAGTAGGAAAATATCTATTGTATGTAATATCACTTTTTTCAGTATTGGTAACACCTGTGAGCACTTGTTAATTTATTCCAGATTTTTGCAAGTTTTTGCAAAACAATTACAATAAGAAATTAAACTTTTTTTTGTTATGATTTACGTAGTTATAACTGCTTCATACAGCACAGAAGACATTTTGATTTCTCTCTTCTCCTAGTCATGGTTGTGCTGTTTCCATGGAGCTGCAGGATGGATGTGACAGGAGCACAAAAACTGCTTAGGGTTTAATCAGAAATAAAGCACATGACCACCACTCCCTTACACAAGCAATAGCTTACGTACCTCCCATTCATTTTCCCCCTCCAACTTGACGCGGAGCTCGTAGATGAGCGTGATCCAACCGGAGCGGGTGTCGGCCTTATGTGGCGGTTCCCACGACACTCGAAGGAAGGGCCAGCCTTTGTCCTCCATTACAGTCACCGCTACCTTCTCTGGAGGATTGGGCTTGACTGGAGAAGGGAGAGAGACAATGTGAATGAGAGGGAGGCTCAACATGTGCATTAACAAAATAAGAATTTTCAAAACACAGAAACACAACAGAAGCCGATTGTGTCTTTGAAAGGCATTAAGCTAAAACACTATAGCAGGAATTTCCAATGTTCCCAATAGACCAGAGTGTGTCCATGTCTCCTCCACAGTGAACAGCTGGACCCCTCCAATAAATGAACACTGTCACTGCAGAGGAGACCTTCGAAATATTTGTTGATATGTGTGTGTAGGGAGATAAATAGAAATGTTTAGGCTTTAAGTTGTCCTCTTGGGGACACAGAATTGACAATGGTGATGTAAGACAAAGAAACAGCTTCTGATTTAGCCTGACAAACAAATCAAAGCAGTGCAACTATTAGAGACAAAGACAAGAGGAGGAGCCACAAGGGCAATGTGGACACTTTAAGCCTCAGAACTATGAGTTTACACTCGTTTTTGGTTATTTCATGAACCAAACAACATCCATCCATCCATCCATCCATTATCTATACATCGCTTAATCCTCACTAGGGTCGCGGGGGGGCTGGAGCCTATCCCAGCTGACTTGGAGTGAAGGCAGGGGATACCCTGGACAGGTCACCAGTCTATCACAGGGCTACACTTAGAGACAGACAACCAAGCACACTCACATTCACACCTATGGACAATTTAGAATCACCGATTAACCTCAACATGCTTTTGGACCGTGTGGGAGGAAGCTGGAGAACCCAGAGAGAACCCACGCTGCACAGGGAGAACATGCACACAGAAAGAGTTTGCAAAAAAAGATCCCGGGTGTCCTCACTGGGATGCGCACTGCTACCTATAGGTTTTGCAACATTCATACATTGCTATATATTATGAAGTAGATCTGCCTGGTGTTTATACTTAATCAGATATTTTTATTCAGTAAATGCAGGAGAAGGCTGAAATATTTGGAATAAACAGCAATATTTTAGTCTGTGTCTGACGTCCATGTCCCGTCTGTGGCACTCATCCCCAAAGCCCATTTGTTCCTATTTTAAAAATGGGTCACAAAGATACATTTTTGAGTCACAAAAAAAAAAGCAAAGTAATTTTCTAAAACAGCTGAGCTCTGTGGAGTCTACAAAATGTCACACAGACAGGAGAAAATTGTCGGAGACTATTTTCAGCCATGGATTAATACGTATTTGCTGCTCTTGTGAGTGCTTGCGGCAGCAGGATGGTGTGTATGGATTGACTCGAAATAAACTCCAGTGCTTGTACCAACTGTAATGACAGAACGGGTCATCCAGTTAAACAGTGTGTCATGCTAAATAGTTTTTGGAGTACAGTGGAGGTTAATGGCACAAAGGAATCTGTAGATGATATTAGGCTTTGGTCTGATACTTTTTGGTGCAATCAGTCATTGCTGCTTTTGGGATCTTTTTAGATAGGACAGAGAGAGAGACAGGAAAGTAGGGGGAGAAGAATGGGGAAGGACCTGCAGCAAAGGGTCATGAGCGGGACTCGAACCCATGACCACTGCATCAGGCAACTAAAGTCCCTACACATGGGACGCCAGCTCAACCATGTGAGCTATTGTGGCGCCCCCAGGTTTTGGGATCTTTTAATGAGGTTTGTAGACAGTAAGACAACACACATCATTAACCAGCTTTGTCCTTAAGTTTCTCATTTTCTTTCCTTTTGGTTTCATCATAACCAATTTGTTTCCAGCACTGTGACAAAGTTCCTTTGCTTCTTGGTGACCTTCAGTGAGCAGCTACAGCTAGAGGGAGGGTTACACTCTGAGAGCATTAGCCACAGTGTAACCCAGTGTGTCACTGAGCAGCTGGGCCAGAGTGTGTAAATACACTTTTTTTTAATCCTCATGGGGAAATTGTGTCTGGATCATCAGGCTAAATTATGAAAGAAAACACCACCTCCCCATGCACATCTCCCTCACCAATATAGACCACGTCTATGTCCACGGGGTCGGAGAAGGTGCTGCCCAGCGCGTTGGTGGCCACCACGGTGATGTTGTAGTTGACCCAGATGGATGTGTCGTTCTTGTTAAAGAAGCAGGAGTTCTGCCCGGCCGTGTGGTAGTCGGGACACTCATACACCGCCTCAGAGCTGCAAGAGAGGAAGGGGAACAACGTGTAGTTGAATGTGTGTGGATTGCATTGTTAGATTACAAGAGCAGCGCATAGACTTGATGCTACAGTATTTGAAACTGACAGACAGGAAGAGATGGTCACTTCTTTCCTGTTTCCTGCACTGTTAATTCATCTTTTTTGTTATCTGCACTTTGTCTATTGGCATTTCATTTTTTCTAGGATGTTTTTTTTTTTTAATTTTAAGAAAAGACATTGAAAATAATTTTGCTGCAGTGATTTCTTGAGACCTTTACATCCTCAGTGTGATATTTCTTCCTGAAAAACTTGATGTATACAATCAGACACATTTAGTGCACAGATAATCCACCACGGATCAGTAGTTTGTGCACCAAAATTTCCATAAGTAGCAAAAATTATACAAATGAGAAACTCAAATATGAAAATTGATGTTTAATTTTTTTTTTTTAAATGTCAGGAGGTTTGATAAACACTCCATTTAAAAAATATATATATTTTCTGGCAATTATTTCAGGGTTTCTGGCTTTACAGGGTTAAACAGGAAGGATGTGTAGCTGTTGCTGTTGCAGTAACTGGTGCTGATTTTAGGTGCATCCAGCTCTATAGCTGCCTAAGTGAAAGGAATCGGGCGACGTCTATGAATGTATTAAGAGTTTGAGACGAAAATTCACAACATCTTCATTGCAGAGAAAGCGGGGACATGCAATGTATTTTGTTAAACAGCACTTAAATTGAGCTAAAGTGCTATTGTTCTGCTGCTGCTGCAGACAATATTATTCTTATTGTAGCAAGAATAAAAAGTCCAAATGACACTAAATGCAGAATGGAAGGCAATGTTCAGCCAGACATGTACAAGGACAAATAATGTGACAATCCCTGTCGCATTATGAAGGAATAAAACATGAATGCATGTATTATTTTTTACAAATAGGTGGGCATTACGTAATTATTATAATCTATTGTAGAAAATAATGGCAGCCATGACTATCTGGACAAACTTGCAGCTCAGTAGAAAGCTGGATTTTTATTGACACTAATGATGTTAAATAAATGTCACTTCTTTCATTACAATGGTGTCCCCCTAAAGAGTTTAGTAAGTGTACTTTAATAACAAGATAAAGCAATGCAATGTACTGATCCCATAACATAAAATCAGTATTTATAAAACTCATGGAAAACTTACACAACCTGAGAGAACAACATCTAAGAAAAACTGCAGAAAAATGAAACAATGCGTCAATTAGGTCTGAACAACCCGTCAGGCTTCAGTTCAATTCACTATGTAAAAAAGTTGTAACGTGATGAAGCATTACTACATGAAAAAATGAAAAACAGTCACACAAGGAGGACAGCAAGAGTTTGTGAAACCAGTGACATGACAGTTGGTTCACACATGCTGTAAAATGTACAAGGTGTGATGTTCAATAATGAGACTGGGCTTATGTTAGTTAAAACACAGTTTGGACACCTAAACCACACTGAAGAGGCTCAAGATGCACACATAAACAACCAATGAAAGTTCTGAATCACAGCACTATTTATTAGCCACACACTGTGTGTCCTCAACTTTGCGATTTGAACTTGATTAATAGCTCAGCCCCAGAGAGAACAATGATGAAATGAGCACGACTGAGAGCCAGCTATTATATTTTCTCACTATAAAAGAAGCTGTATGACAGACTGATGAAGACTGATTACTTGGAGACAAATCTCAGACGATCATAATGAATGAATCAATATTTCTCTCCATTTGCGTCTCTGTTATTATTGGCTTTATCTACTGTTCTTCTGGAGGAGAACAGACATTCCTTACAAAATTGTCAGTGTAAGAACTGAATAAAAAAACAGATATATCATTTTCCCCCAAACCGCTATTTATAGGGAACACAATGGTGAGGTCTGAGGTCATAAAGATGTGTGATTCAGACATCATTTCTCATTTCTCCGCCCTGATATTTCATGCAAATCATCAGGATGTTCTCGCTGCGACCGAGCACTAATGAAATACGGATCAGACTGGAGTCGAACCTCATTAGAATGAACTACAGAGCAACAAAATGTCGGCAAATTCTTATCTTTGTTTATTTTTTTCTCTTATAATTGTGTTAAGTTTATCCATTCTCTCCTGCATTTCTTTAAAGAAACAATTTTAAGAATTATTTGCTTTCTTACCAAGAGTTAAATGGCAAAATCAGCACCATTCTCATGTTGGTCTACCACAGTTAGATTAGCTTCATGTTTGGGCTGGAAAAGGGGAAACAGCTAACATGACTATGTGCAAATTTAAAAAAAGAAATTGCATGCAAGGATACATGCAACAACCTAATGGTGTCAAAGGGGCTATTGTTAAAGCAGATTATGTGCTGGATTATGGTCAATCAAGCAGTCAATCGGAGTTTATTTATACAGCACTGTTCAAGGAAACCAGCTCAAGGTGCTTCACGAGTGACTGACAAAACATATGACGGTAAAATAGATTTAACGATAACTATACACCAAAACAGTGGGAAAATACTGTTTATTTAATTGGCAGTTAATTTGATAAATAAATGAAAGCTAGTACAACCAAAATAAAAATAAAATTGTGAAATAATTTGCAAAATAGATGCCTTTGTTGTGGTCTTTATGCTAAATTAAGCAGCTTCTAGCGATGAGGAACTTTAACATATGACATTCTGCAGCTCTAACTCATTCATCCCATGTTTCCAAACACTTGTCTATATCCGCTCTGCCACCATCACCTTCACTCTCCTGAGCCTACCTGCCTGCATGCAACCTTGCTAATTGGATGAATAATCTTTGTAGCTGAACATAGCTCTTCCAGTCCTCCCTCTTCCGCTCTACATCCACGCTTACTCCTTATCAACCTTGAGCAATTTTAAAATCCATATCTGCGGGCACAACGAGAGCCACATAACCCTTTGCAATCTTTATCCTCTTATACCAGTCTGCTGCCCTCGGTGTGAACCTCCACCCAGGCGACTGTGCAACCTTGAGCATGGGGAGACATCCCGTCGTGTCATCTACACTGATGCTGTGCTCCGTTCTCCTTCCATCCTGTGTTGATGTGACATATGGAGCCCCTCGGTCTTGATACTATCTAACCAGCTCTTCTATCAATGATTAGGAGTCTACTGTGGACTGCTAACAACCCATCTGCACCATCTTTCTGCTACTTATAACACACTATGTTGCTGCGTGAAACTGGAAGCCACTCACTTTTCTTTGCGGTAGTACAGGGCGTAGGTCGTGGGCAGCCCGCCGTCAGAGCCTGGCTCCCACCAGCAGGTGAAAGTCTCTTTTTCAGGAGAGCGACACCTGGTCAGCGCAGGCTTCCCCGGCAGGCTGTAGCCTAAACACACACAGCAAACATATAAATGCCAATGAAAGCAAATACTTGATTACAAACTAAATGTGGTGTGTAATATACCGAAACAGAAACTTTAACAGATGCCAGCAAATTAGGATTTTGTGCAGGTTAATTATGATAAATACATCAGCCAACCAACTATCAGACACGTCTCAGATGTTAGAAGAAGTTTCTAAGATTGACATTTTAAGCCAAGCACTTACGCGTTCCTTCTGCATGCGGCATAAAGAACAGCAGCGACAACAGCAGGATAGCTTCTCCAGCTTCCTTCATCGTGGCACCACAAAGCCTCGGCTGTCGGATGGATACAAAACAAACAAAGGAAGGTGAAGATTGGGGAACTGTCTGACCTGCGCTCTTGACAAATCAGTTGATGCACAACTTGTATTGAGTCACAACACGTTTGCATGACAGAGAAAAGCTGCCCTTTGCAGCTCGGATGTTGGATGTTACAATAACTTTAAATTCCCTGAAGGATGGCAATGTAAGCGGATGCCATCGCTAGAGAAGGAAACACATGATGAAATATTGCGTAATTTACCGCTGAGGTAAGCAATAATTCATGCTTAGAAAACATTTGGACAGTTGTGCAGTACAGAGTTGTCATTTATCTCAACTTACAGAGCCCTAAATAGACACGTTAAGAAGCAAGCAAATCAGATTGAACCGTAGCAAATGCAATGAAATGAAAGAATAAAAGTCCCCCAGAGAATGTATGCAGTTTCACTAAGGATTAAAAAACATCCTCTCCATGTCTGAATACCTCTACCAGCTGGCACATGCAGCGTAACCGATTGCATAACCTGAGTTCAGGCTTTTGCCTCAACAACAGCAGAAGGCTGGTTCGCGTTGCTGGCGAGCGGCTCGACTCGCCTTCGCATGACTTGGAAATCTGCAATTGGCGAGCCATGTGCTGATGTATTAGTTATTACCCTGCGTGACCCTTTATCTGTAAACCCACGGGGAGGAAGACGGGGAGGGAGGAACAGTAGCAGCAGGGGGGTAATAAAGAGGTTAAATAGATGGAAAGGCTCTTGTTGCATCAGTGGAAACTGGAAGCTGGCAGAGAACACAGAACTGTGACGTGCTCCGTCTCTCTCTTTTGGTTACTGATGGTGAATTGTTGCGAGGTCAGGATGTGACATGTTGAACAGATGAGTCTTTTAACCTACTCTAATAACAGTGTTCAAGGAAGTTCCTGAAATGAAAACTATTTAATCTAAATATGAATTGCCTTTTCCTTCAACATCCCCAAATCATTAGACATTCAGAAGCACATTCTTTCCATAAAGATGCCTCACAGTCTCCTCCTCTGGCACACACATCACGAGACGGAGTATAAAAACTGCAATTGTAGCTGCAATTTTCAAATAGTTTTGTATCTTTTCAGTGCAAAAACTGAGCCTTAATTCTTTCATTTTTGCCTAAAACAGTATTTTGACTTAGACTTTTTCTTGTGTGTGTGTGTTTTTCCCTTTGCTGTACACCTTTTAGTGCACACAGACTTTGTTTAAAACGATAACATTTGCTGTAAACAGAAGGACACCAAAACAGAATCGAGGAGTGGAATTTCTAAGAATGCTACCCTTGTCTGAAATATAACACTATGACCAGTTTCCACATGCAAAGACTTGCTTACTTGTTAAATTTCTACTAAGCGTCTCACTGACTTGACACTGTATACATTTCATGCACCTCCAGTTAGATTCTACATTCACAACCTGCAGCAGGACCAGTCAGAGTCTGGCTGCGTCAGCATGTGCTACCGAGTCATGTGTGCGCGTGTGCTTCAATTAAATTTGACTTATGTAACAATCATCTTGTGTTTGGTGCTTTTCTATTTTTGCAGTAATTTTGCATGCAAGCTTTTTTATGGTGCCTTAATTTCAATAACGTCACCATGATCTGATAATTGGCATTAAGATCAAGGCACTGGATTAGCCTCCTGCTGCATATAGCCTTCTTACGTAACCAGGAGCCCAAACTAAATAAGCTGCTAAGCTGGGAAAGTGCTGGCCAACAGAGCACAGCTCTTTCCTCACGGATAACAATGGTCGAACGTTAAATATGAACTATGGATTGAAGTGTATTGTCATGCTGCATGTCGCACCACAAGCTGCGTGCTTGCTGATTAAGTTCGCGTATCACAGATTTAAAATTGCAAATATGCAAAATAGAATGTGATGTGCAAGCAACCAACATTTAAGGTAATAATGTGAAATGTTGCATGTCTTGAGAGTGATACCGAGAAGTGTCGGTTTCTTGGAAAGAAAAGGAAAAATGTGAAGTAGTTGTAGTGCATTGAGGTTATAGGCACCAGTGACATGAATGCTAAATAAAGTCTATGATATGTTTAGTGTAATGTAAAGAGCATGGCACACAGAAAATGAGAAATGAGGCTAAGACCTAAATTCACATCTAGCGGTGATGAATTATTGACACTTTGTGTTCATGAATGGCCTCTCAGCTTCAGAAGGTGAAGAGAGGACGTGTCAGATGACATGTTGAGGTAAAATGTGAGCAGTGAAGCATCACCTGCTCTATAGCACAGCAGCCCATCTTTACAAAGAGGATGAATGAGGAATATTTCTTTCTCACACAGGGTCACAGTGTTCTCAAGAGGGCCGACCAACACGACTGAGCTCCAGCATCCCTGTTTCTAAGAACCTGGTTCTCTTTTCTAAAAGGTTACAGAGAACGAAGGCACAAAGTACACGATATGTCCTCAGTGATTTACTGCACATTCATGTATTTCTGTTTTATATTAACCTATGTTTAGTGCAAACAAAACGGGCTAGGAGACTGTTTATATAGTCAACCATACTTGATTTCCTCAGGACAGAAGCACTCCACTGAGGGTGAAGCAGACAAGCAGGTTTGCTGTAACAGTTCCTCAAGTATCAGTTACAGTACTTGAGTGTCGTTTTTCCTATCAGAAAAATATTTGTAAATTTGGCCGTGAATTTTTTGCAGGTGTTGGCTGATGGAATATGTAAAAAATGCCAGAAATCACTCAAGCTGTGTTTACATATCAGAATCATGAACCTGTAATCCTGCTCAGGGTGGAACAGACGAAACGCTTCCTAGTACAGCAATAAAACCGGTTTGATCAGCAGCAGCTTTCTAAGAACTTTTTTTTCTTGAGGGCAAAGAGCATCTGAGAACACGACGGAGAACTTAAAACTGCTGAGTCATTTTTACTGGAATGAAGCTACTTTCAAGGAAAAGAACAGTGGATTCGAATGAACCCAGGAGCTCTAGTGTCACTACGTGAAGCCACACTGCTGGTAAATTACACGACCTGTTCCAAAAGTTGCCAGATGTTTTGCTGTTCTACACCTTTTTGCAGCAGGGATTATATATTTGTACTACTAGTAGATACACCTGAAGTGTGGGAGCAGAAAGATTCAGTAGATTTATTATTTGTACTTTTATTATTAGTGTGAAAACAAAACAGGAAACCAGTTTAATTCCACAGACTATAGTTCTGTGACACAATTCTTCCATTTTTGGTTCCATAAAATATAACTTCTCCTTAAGGAAAAAGTTCAAGATCTCTTATTTAACGCACTGGCACGGTTCAAAGTACACACCAACAAAGAGGACACATATTCTTCCACATAGCGTCATTTGCACACAATAAGCCAGTCATAAAATCAACATTCTTGTGAACTCCACACCACGGGTTGCCTGTTTCAGCTACACTCACTGCAACGCTTTTTACACCATTGTTGGATGTGAATGCCTTTGAAACCGTACTTATCCTTTGACCTCCTGTGTTTTTGAGGCGTTCGCGCCGCGGGGAAGGAAAAAAAAAAGCTTCAAGGACAGCAGACAACGGCTACTTGCAGCAATAATAATCCCACTGTGCTGAAGTTAAGAAACAGGCTAGTGAGATAAGTGGAGCAGCGACATGTATTTATAGGCCATAAGTTCTGTGTTTGAAAGAGAAACAAGAATCCTTCAAAAGTTTAAATGACACACGAGGCAGGTGAAGCAGCAGCAGCAGCATATTCTTTAAGGTAAAATAACTGAAGATCCGATTTGCCCTGAAACACTTGAGTTAGAGTAGCTGCGGGTGTGTGATTTGGAAACTGGATGTACTAACGGGCCACCTCACCCCAGTCTGGTTCCTCTTATTAAGTGGAAACATGAAGTGGAAACGCTGGGCTGTAGCTGGAGCACATGTGCAAAGATGGGTAAATACTTCTTCCATTGTTTGGTTGAAAAAAAAAAATTGAGTGCAATCCATCAGCAGTTTATTTCATCACAAGCTTTTTGAGGAGAGTTTGTTTTCGTGAGTCACCACTTAGTTTGGTGATGATTACTTTGTGTGTGAAAGCAACTGTCGCCAGCTAAGCGCCGACCACCAGGCTGCGTGATGCACGCTAATATAATGTCAATAAAAGTTAATTTCCGGCCAAAGGTAACACAGATTGATATGATATTTGTTATATGATATGAGCTGGGTCTCACATAAAGACCTGTACGGTGAATACTCAGATTACACTTCCTTTGAAGTCAAACAAGCCTTTTGTGTGGGTTTTTTTTGCAGCAGTGGTTTAACAAAAGACCAACAGCAGGTGCTAATTTCCTGATAGGATCAAAGTGTGTCCTTTAAATGTAAGAAATCATGATTAATGATTTTTAAATATACTGAAGAGCTCATTTGCAAAACTCCACTTTTGTAGATTTTATTTTCTTGTTGTTTGCTTGAGATAGTATCAATCAAACTGAAGCTGAGTGGATTTGACTCAGTAGAAATGACAACAATAGAGATAACTTAAGTTTGATTGATATTGTCTCAGGTATAGACGATGGAAAAGTGGGTTTGTGAAGATGGAGTTATCTGTTTTTGCAAATGAACAAAGAAGCAATGCGCTGATTTGACTCGTGTTTAAAACAACTCCACACAGGTTTTATGCTATTCTGAGCCTGCGAGGCCTCATCATTACAGCAGTAATCATTATGCTGTGCCCACACTGACAGGCTATATAAAGCCTCCGTTCAGGACTAACAGTGGAAACAGACAGTAAGCTGCAGGCAACGAACATTGTAATCCAGTATTGAGTTGATCAGCTTGATGCTATAAAGGCCAATAGCCTCTTTCACCCTTTCCGAACTGGACTTAAGACCAATAAGCATGAAGCAGATATTCCATAACACCCCATCATCATCATCATCATCATCATCCTCCTCCTCCAAGGAAACTGACAGTTCACCTGCAGCTTCATCCTCCATATTATCCCACTCACTTCTTCTAACTCCACACAAGCCAAACAATGAGTCACTTTACAACTCTGCATTCATCCACGCAGCTCCTAATCACAGAGGCTGTATTTAGAAGTGCAGGTGTGACTTACCAAGCAGGGCTGTTGAGTCTCTCCCGCCGTGCCTCAGCCGTGGTGACTCCTCTGCAGGCTCCCAGAAGAGCGCACCGGCCGACCTATATCTATAACTGGTTTACCGGGATGACAGGTGATGATGAGCGCGCGCACATTACCGGAGCGACCCCTCGGCTCAGCGGTGCAGTCACAGAGTCGCAGCATCCACCCAGCGCGTCCCGTCTGATCCCGAGGTGGGCGGAGCTCCGGGGCCTGCCTCCGCTCTAACCCCGCCCACGGATTAGGCCTCCAGACAGAGTAGAGAGGAGAGACTGGACATTAGAGACAACCAGTCCTGCTTTATTTAAAAGAACATTTAAAATATTATCGTTGTATTTATAAAGACAATAAAATATCTTTAGAAATATTACTACCTCGAGGATGCGTGACAGAAAGAGGGAGAGACAAACAGATGCAGAAAGGAGAAGATAAAATCCGCTGCAGCCTTTCAGAAATGTAAACACATAGCCTATCAGTTATTTAGTTAGATACCAGGCTGTCCTGATCATTTTGGTTATAAATAAATATGGCCTTCAGTTCTATTTTATTTTATTCTTTTGTTTTTGCTAAATCCTCTCCTCAGGACAACACACGATGCACAGTTCCTGCTACCTTAGTAACTTTTACTCGCTCTAAGTATGAACAAATATTGTAAAACACATTGTGACATGATCAGCTGCTGAAACAGTGTTTATCCTTTCAGTGGTTCCTCTTACTGGGAGCTGTAAACATTGTAAAATTTCCCAGTATCTGACATCGTCCTCCCACGGTCTGTCCCTGACTCTCTCTCTCGCTCTTATTTGTGGGGAGTTTATCTCTACTAGTTGATATGAATACATTTAGATGTGAAACACGCTTTTTGTGCATTTCTTTATCCCCTAAAAGAAAAAAATGACACCATACAGATAGAAAAACAAATCACCCACAAAGAAAGGTGCAGCAATATTTGTTTTACAACAGGATGTAACCCTGAGCATAATGCAACCACTAACAGGTACAGGATGGATGCCACATGTAATAAAACGCAAGATAAGCTGGTTTTTTTTGTAAGATTCTGAATAAACAATATGAAAAACACAAGCTGTCCCTACGGATACACAACATGCAGGCTGCAAAACTGTAGCTGTTAAATTCACAACAGAGAATTAATTACAAAGCGCACTTGGTTTCCAGGGAAACTCAAACAGCTGGGAGAATACAAAAGGAGGCAGAAACTGATTTTTTTAAAGGGATCCTAAGGGATCTGTTCGTGTAACCGACCATTGTCTGTCCAATCTGACTTCCTTATTGCTCATTGTGTTCACTTTCTGGGAACAGACGCAAACACACACACGTGCATTTATGTCAAAGATGGGGGCAGAGAGTTCAGAAAGTAGTAACGGTGTGAGCAGCAGTTTGAGCTCTGTATGTAAATCATGTGGGGAACAAGAACAATAAAGAAAGCAACACATCACTCATATATTTAATGTTCTGCTTAGTCTTTAAGAGAAACATTGTGTCTTTAATTTCCTGTTGTTGTCAGTGATGGAAGGTCACTGAGTGCATTTACTCAAGTACTGTACCTACAGTATGTACAATTTTAAGGTCATTTTACTTGAGTATTTTATGCTACTTTATAAATACACTTTGCATTTCACAGGGGAAATATTGTACTTCCTACATCACTACATTTGTTTGACAGCTTTAGCCACAATTAATGTACAAGATAAATACTTTACACAATGAATAATATCAGAAGCTTTTAAACTACAAGACATTGTTGGGGATTAACCAGTGATTTACAACGTTTTTTAGCTTCTTGTGTCTCACAAAGGGCAGCGTCTCGTCACATTTCAGGTGTCTATGAGTTCTTAACAGCTCCACCAAATACTGATTTTTCCATTTAAACTTCTCACATAATTTCATTTCTAGAAACATCCAAACGATCCAATGTCTAAGCAAAAATCAAAGATTGCAGAAAGAGTCCAATCCCTAAAAGCAGATTTGTGTTTCATGACATTGTTTTCCTCTTTCCCTATATTCAACTCACAACCCCTCAGATTCATCTACTGTGCCTGTATATACAACTTTATGTTAAGTAGTTCAAACCAACTCCACCTACAGCAGCTACAGCAGTACACTCATGCTTCAGTCTTAATATTTTGAGGATGTCATATATTAAAATATATCAATCAAATGGACCAAACAAGTACTTTTACTTTAATCTCTTAAGACCCGAGCTCATGTTTGATATGCATTTTTTTTTTAAATTCTCTTTGCTATTTGATCAAATCGCAAGGAGAAATAAAAATTTTAAAAAAGTGTAAAGAAAAAAAATAATTTAAAAAATCTTTAAAAAACAAAAAGATAAATAAACCAAATAATAAAATATTAATAATAAAACATATATTTAAAAAAATAAATAAACCACTGTGGTAATATAACCCAGAATGTGATATCCATGCATGTGGATCTTAAGAGGTTAACTGCATTTTTCAGCTCATACTTTTGTGCATAAGAAAGACTTTGACGTGTAATCGAGTACTCCTACGTTGCTGTATTGTTACTTGTGTTAAGAATCCGACTACTTCTTCCACCACTGATTCTTGTGACACAGTAGTTCCATCTACAGCATTTTCAGTATTAGTCAGTTCATCAGTTTTAAAAGAGAGTTACTACATGCACTATTTATGTGTGATGTCAATGATTGGTGAACACAGTCTATAAATTTTAAGCATAAAACAACCTGTCTGTCTTGATTTTTTAGGGTTAATATATACTGATAAGCCTTGATGCACATTGTCAGTATCTATAGTAACGGTATCTTTTTGCAAATAATCATTGAAAATATCCGCTTATGGGCAGAGTGAATGATGCCCGTCTATCAAGGGTGGCTTGGGAAAGCTCCGGCCCTCCCCTGTTCGGCTGTACTTAGGAGCAATAATGTTATGTAATACGGCCATCTGCTCTTCACATTGATTTAAAAGTACCATTATGAGACATAGCCATATGTGAAGGCTGGTGAACGCTTAAACAGGGACCTACTGGATGGATATGGAAACATTTGCCACTGAACACGTTTATATAACACTCTCTCCCACTTATCTTTATTGTCGCTCATTCACAATAAACGCTTTGGGAGAGTGCATGTGTGCAGTCACCTATTGATTTTGGGATGTCAGCTTTCATGCCTGTGCTTGACCAGCAGTCAGAGGTGGAGGACTGAGGTCCGCCTCTCCCTCATCAACACTCAACAGTGTTGTCATTTCTCCCACTCGAATCACTGCTCATCAGTGCATGGTCAAATCAGGTCACACCTTGCTGCTGTTATGGCTTTACAGTGACATCTAGCGACGCAATCTGGAACTGGTTTGATGGAAAAATCTGTTAAATGGACCAAACTAAATCTGGATTTGCAAGAGTCTGGGAAACGGGCCTGCTTTTTATTGATTTAAGATGGTCATTTGTCAAAGTCCTGCCTGTACTCTGTAGAATCTGTCTGCATGGCAGTACAGGAACAGTGTTGCTCATGACAGTAATACAGGAAACAAGCATTGCATTTAGTTTCCCCTATTTGTTCCTGAGCCATGGATGAATCATAAATGAATGACAAACTGGCATAATCACCTTTAGTCAGTCTGCTTTTATTACACATATAGCATCCTAACCACTGCTAAAACTATAAATTAATGATGACTAATAACAACCGATGACCGGGTACCATTTATGTAAGTGTTTTAAGCTGCAACTAATGGATTTAGCAATGCTTAATAAATCATTTACTGTTGCTTTATAGATCAGTTATAAGCCATTATTAAGCACAAGTCCTTGGCTGCCAGATTGAAAGTTAAGCATGACGCCACATAACCTGCATGCCAGTACACGTTTCTTTTTGGTGAGTTATTTGATTAATTATGGATTATTACTAATGGTTTGATTGCCTCCTCTGAAAAATGACTGTGCATCTGGACCAAAATAAAAGTCCTTTTGATCATTTGCAAAGACTTGATGGATGGAACAAGGTATGATTTATTAACCGCTCACTGCAGGCGACTCACTAAAGTGAAATTTTTTCCATTCTGAAGGCTAATAAGATGCACGTTCCTGCACAATCTGTTCAGCTGTCTCACTTAAGCAACATTAGAAACATTAGTTACCTTATTATTGCTTTAATTTGCTTTCTGTTTTCCTTTGATGAATTTTCTACTTGTCAGTGTTTACAGTTATGCACCAAAGCACCTTGCAGAAGACCAATTTGGCAATAAAAGGTAATCTCATTCTGTTTGTAACTTTTGCTAATGGCTTATTAGAAATCACTTAACGCTAATTTGTGTGATACTAACAATTATAGCTGCAAACTTGATCAAATAAATGGTTTTTGGCAAACTTGTGCTGTAGCCCTTTTTCAGGGATGGTCAAACTGATTATTTTATTCCTGAAAGACTGAAAAACCTTGCAAAAAAAGACACGCAAAATAACATTATAAAGGAGGATTCCCTCTATGAGACAGCCTCTCATATGTTAAATAAACATACTTGCACATGTGAACCCTGAGCCACCCATTAGTCAATCAATCAATCAATCAATGCACATTTATTGTGCCACTATAATATTTTGTATCATACTCGTTTTTAATAATTTATAGTTTGTATATAGCTTTTAAAAGTTTGCACACTGATTTTAAGGTGTGTTTGGGCTCATTGTCCTGCTACAGTGTGAATCTTTCTCCTCACTGATGCAAACCAGAAGGTGCAGCATGTCTCTGAAGAGCAGAATGCACGTCTTAGTCAGGATGTGGTTGTTTTGGGGCAGGTGTCCAACTTTACAGTGAACAAAACACTCCCAACAGTAAGCAACACTCTGCTGGAAACTTGATGCACATCCATGTTTATAACAGGCAAACAATGACTGCGAGTTATTTACTTGAACGAGTCCCTGATGTGCTCAACTCATCGGAATGGAAGAAAGAGAAAATTGCCCCTTTTGCACGCAGGACTTCAATGTCAGAAATTTTCTTATATTTCATTGCTGATCTAGAAATAATGCAGAAACTAACATATTTGCTTTCATTGTAAATTTCATTACTGCCTGCATTTCAAAAATATTTCTAAATCTAACTTTCTGATTATTTCCAGGTTTATATTAAATATATATACATGCAAGTGTGTTTATTGTTGAATGTTAAATTGAATTAGTTGGGTACATTGAGCAAAATCAGTAATATTGTAGGGTTTTATTTTTAATATTTAATTTACTCAATTAAATGTATATTTTATGCAATATTGTAGGATCTTGACTGTAATATTTAATTTATTTATGTAAATTTACATCACAAATAATACTGTGTAATCCTTAATTTTTAAATTTATGAGATAAATTTGTAAAGCCAGTTTTATTCCTCTATTAAAAGCACTTTTGCTGAGGTGCTTTAAATGTGATATATAAATAACTGTGACTTGTCTAATATCGACATATTAAATTGTCCATTATTGCATCTGTTATCTTCTTATTCCAGTTTTATCTTAATTGTTGTTATTTTGTCTTTGACTGCTAAAGTATTTATTTGTACCCTTGTTATTAAAGTGCTATAAACTAAGTTATAATTCTAACAAATTGCAATTCTTTCTATAATTACTTGTTCTTTACATTATTGCAAGAGCTACAGATACTGAGCTAGAGAAAGCTGGAGGTAGTTTCACTTCCCTCCAACTTTCTCCGGTTCATCGACTTAGATTCGTGATCCGGATCAATCGTTTGATCTTATCTGGCTCGCTCTGTGCGTGTAGCCTGTGATTGGCTGTCTTGTCACAATCCCCGCCCATGACATGAACGCGCTCCGGGCCTTATTGAGAATATTTAACTTGAAAATACCATATTACACATGTTAAAATACCTAAACGAAAATCTTGAACATGCTGATTTTTTTTTTCAATATGAGACATGACCTAATATAACCTGGAATAGGCGATAAAAAACACACACACCCGACACTGTCTAGTCCGACGCCCTCTTCGGATTTGATTGGCCAACCAGGTACGTTGGGGAATTCAGGGCGCATCTCATTGGTTAATGTTGACGCCAGTCACTTCTAGTCGGCACACGATTGGTTGAGCCGTTAGGAGGAAGTCACAACATTTCGGGGGATAAGCTCGGAGTTGACAAAATCTCATCTGTCTCAGTCGAAACATTTTGGGCACAGTTTTTTTTCTTTTTCATTCCCATCCAAGTAGAGTCCTGGGCGGACCACGCTGGCGAGGATTACGGCTTCGAACCAACCCCCCGTGCCGTGCCGAGGACTCGCTCTCACCGTGGACTTTACCACCACCGCACGGCAGAGTGAGGAAAGTGGGACTTTATTGTTCAAGGCTAGCTAGCTAGCTTTGCAAAGCGGCTTGTTTTTGTGTGTATAACGTGGACCGCGGGCTATATGGCTGCGAATTACGAGCCAATATATGGACTTTCAGAAGACGAGGTAAGCTTCAATTTCTACAAAGCTGTTTTAAAATGCAGACTGCAGTCGTGAATAAGTGTCTCTCACGGGGGGGTGTTCAGCCAGAGACAGCTAACGTTAGCCGACAGTCAAGCTAACCAGCCCTCACCCTCGGTAACATTCCGTTGTAATGTTCAGGCAGCTGTCAGTTTCCTGCCGCCTGTCTCCGTGACTGTTACCTTAATATCAACAACCACCGCACTACTTTGTATTCAGGCTCTTGAAATTAAGCCGTTCGCTTTGATCGAGCTGGCTTCAATACCTCGCTACACCCTCGATGTGATTCAATGTGTGAACGACTTGTAGCTGAACTCAAAGTGCTGCGCTGGAGCCCAGATGTGCACAGGGGGGAGATTGATCCGTTTCTTCATTAATTTTACTCTGTCAGACTTAAACACCCCCTCTCATCCGTGATCAAAGCTGTCTGATGGTGAGCTGACCACTAAACAAGACAGAAGCTGAGCCGTGTAGGTCCTGCAGTGTCAAATGAGGTCGATATCCACTTGAACTGTATGTCGCCTGTGGTACTCAGACTTGCATAAATAATGTAGTCAATGCAAAAAACCTTATTGTTTTACATGGGAGCAGCATCACAGTCACGAGTCAAACATGAGAGCATCACTACATGACTAACAGCATAATTTTCTAACCGAGCAGCTGTCATGTCAGCCAACCACCTATCAAGATATTAGTAATGCAGTCAGAAATAGTAAGGAGGATGGAGAGATATATATACATCTTTCGATTATGCAGACAAAAAAAATCCTTCATGTAGTCCTTGTAGGTTTCAGAGGAAAACAGGGGTGTGCCTCTGATCCTTGAGTTTGTCCTCAGCTTACATCAGTAGACTCAAGTGACACTATCACCAGGATGCAGGAGAGATTTGCATCTGACCTTTTTTAAGCCAATTTAGCCAGTCTGTTTGAAATGTGTCTTTGCAGATAATCTCTGAAGTGTCCAATACCTGGAACAATTTATATTCATAGCGCTAACAATGTCATAATCATTGTTATGAATAAGGTCAAAACAGGTAATGGTGGACTTTATCGCGTAATCCAACTCAAGCAGCTTTGCTTTCTTTACAAAAAAAATCTCTCTTCGTTTCGCTTTATGGTGCTCAATCTGTCTGAGGCGTGCTTGTAATAACATTCCAGACACTGCAACACATGGGGCTTTGGGAATGGTTGTCTAGTTCTCTGATTAGCGTTCACGATTTTACAGACATCAGACCAGATTATGAAATCCCCCAACAAGTAAAGATAAAGATAATTGCGGTTCTGCATTCCATGAAACAATGCACTTCCTGTGGCTATGAGGTAAACATCCAGTAATGCTACACTCCCAGAACAAGACCACGGCCAAGGTATCAGCTGGGTTGGCCTGGGCTCTCACCCTCGCTCCCTTTCCTCTCCAGCATGATAGCTGTAGCTGAAATTGTGACAGACTGTCTTGTCAGGCTTTATGTAAATGTCATTAGCTCTACTCAGACACCTACCAAGAAGCAGTGTGTCAGTGATTTTACTTGAGGCAGCAGTAAATTAGAGAAAAGAGTGTGTGAGGCTGTGAACTGTGCACGGTGTGAGGTGGTTTAACTCAGCCTCCAGTAGATTTCTTTTAGCAGAGATGCTTTAGGAATTAGATACAAACAAATAACTTACAAAATGATCATAAAACACATTGATGTAGTCATACAGCTGAAAAATGTGCCAGATATTTTGGATGATTGTCTTGCTGTTTACGTGTTTCTCTGCATGATTATAAAAGCTTTTCAGCTCATTCATTTCTAGGTCAGGGTTATTGACTTAAAAAGGCAGGTTAGTGCAGCTGGCAGCTTGAATTATTTTAGGTGGGTTGGCTGTGAGGTTATGAGATAATTTTCCACGAGTTTGATTCAGTGTTTTGATCCATTTGCTCTTTCTTCTGCAGAATGAAACAAGAGTGCTGCGGGTTAAGGTCATTGCAGGAATTGATCTGGCGAAGAAAGACATCATTGGAGCCAGGTTAGTATCACTGAATCATTTGCAACACACCACAAGATGCTGTTTTCACTGGAGGATTCTCAGTGGAGGAATGGCTGTGTTGTCACCCTGTCATTATGGTGACATGTGTGTGAAGGCCAGGTGCTCTGTCCCTGTACATCTTTCACCACACTAGACTTATGTGAATATTTTTGCTGGTCCTTTACATTTAAGATTATACACGTATTGTCATTGTCTTAACAGATCAGTTTTATAACACACAATATTTAATATTTCAGTCAATATTAATGATTTATCAACAACATTTAGCTGAGGAAAGCCTAACTTAAGATCAAGTACAGGCACTTTAGCTGCATTTCACATCCTGCTCTTTGACTTAGAAGGCCTACTTCAGTCAACCGAATGTTACGCACTTTCTCTACATTCCTTCAAGTTACAAAGACCTTGAACTCCAAGTGTTAATCAATGATTACCTCCCTGCTTCTCCTATCCTACTTGTAACCCACTACTGTTACAGTTTGACGAGTAATTATACATGCCACATACTTTCTCACATGTGGGAACACACTGATGTTAAACTTAAACTTTTCAGGATCTTTAAAGTGTCCCTCAGAGTCTTCTCCCCATGTCTGAAGTGTGATCTACTGTTAAGACAGTTTTTACATGACGTTATAATTCTCCTGCGGAGTTGCATTTTAAATCTTTTTTTGGTTATTGTACATTTTGTGTTGATAAGCAGTCTGACGTCTGCTCCTTGTATTGTGATCACCTACATGTTTGTATTTGCACTAAGAGAATGTGATCATAAATTAACGGTACACTGAGTGACTAGCTGTCACTGCTACCAACACCACCGACACCACCTGCTATCATTTTGCTCATGTGCAATAAGAATTCTTATGAATATGCGTCTTTTATCCAGGGAAATTGCAACTTTATTACAAATACATTTGAAAGCAGGTTCACCTGCACGTATACAGTGTAATGAAGCTCAAAACATCCAAGCAAAGTAACATCGACTGAAACACATTGAGCGAGAAGGAACTTTAAATACCAAGACATGTGTACAGGAATAGAATAGAGCTGTAACTTATGACTATATTTTTGATTAATCTGTTAATAAACACAAGTAGGAACCTGTGAATGTAAGGCATTTATGCTTAAAAATCACTTAACCCTCTTTATACTTTAAGTTTCTAGGTGTTTTTTCCTCCCATCACATTTGTATTCACTGTGGGATATTTTTCTTTTTACAGGAATATAAAGTCCTGCAGCTCTATTGAAAAAAACACAACCATGACTAAAAGTAGAGGGAACTCAAAAATATCTTCTCTGCAGTATAGCAAAAAAACCAAACTAACAAAAAAAAAAGCCATAAATCAGTAAATAAGCTTTTGTTTGAATTTCCTTAAATATTATTTACTTAACAAAATTTAAAGAAACCTAATCATCATATGCAACATTTTCCAGCTTCCCTGCAAGTGTTACAAATACTGGAAGGAAAATGGTACTTTACATGCTGTATGCACAAACATACAGAAAGTCCCTGACTTTTTGTCACGTCACACAGCTCTCTAATGGCTTCATAGCCATACGAAGAAGTGTGTGTTTTTTGTTTTTTTGCCGGATTTGGGGAGAGCAAATTTGATTTTTTGGAGAATTATTAAATGAGACATTGAGAATAATGGGATTTTAAAGAGAAGCACAATTTTAGGCTTAGATGTGAATACATTTTTCTATCGAACAGCATGTCACAAGAAGTGTCTGTAAGATGAAAATCCAACAATTCTTTCTGTTTTTACAGTTTGTGGCTCTGATAAACGTAATTTCTTTTCGGTAACATGACTTTCAAAGCAGCCGGTGGGTCTTGGGGTTCAATCAGTTAGTTGTCTATCCATCCATCCATTATCTATACACCGCTTAATCCTCACGAGGGTCGCGGGGGGGCTGGAGCCTATCCCAGCCGACTTAGGGCGAAGGCAGTTTTCTATTCACTAGTTGGTCATTTGGAGAGGGTGAAACTTATTTCAAGATCCAAGCATCCATATATGTTCAGTGGCAGTTGTGCTGTTTTGTTTTATGTTGTATACATTATTGACAAGACACTCCCTCGAGAGCAATTTCTTAGAAGGCTGAACTGACAGCTCACTAACTGGTTCTTTTGCCAACATAAGTACACTTGAATGCCTGAATAGGTCTGTACATGACAATGCTATGCAAACGCATGCAGCAGTATGTTAGCAGTGACCACTCAGGAAATTCTCCAAACAGCCACTTGCATGCTGAACTGTAACTTCTGCAACAAGATGGTCCATCAGTACATGCAGGAGACAAAGCAATAGCTATTTGAAACGAAACAGCAAAGAAAACTGAAGCTTGTGCACAGTTGATATCTCGCTGAAATCCCCCCGTTACCAGGGCAAGCCTCATCTAAATTTGAACACTGTTCCTACTGTTGATCATAGTAATGCATTGTATCTGAGCTATGAGAAAGCAGACATTGTCAGCGAAAGAGCTTGGCATGTTTAGCACTGTGTGAGTGCTACTCACATGCCAGAGTGCCTGTGTTAGCATCCTGATGCCCTGCTGGCAGGACAGCTCAGCCTGGCTCAGGAGAAAGCTGAACTGTAATGAAGAAACACTGAATGAGGTCTTGATGTGTGGCTGGCTACCACAGGAGACAGTGCTGATTTGGCAGTCTGTCACCTCATAAGATTCTCAAACAGTGTCGGCTTTTTCTTTTCCTCTTTTTTTTTTTGCTCCAAATGCGCCGTTGCTGCTGTATTACAGACACGTAGTTATATCGCATCCTGCTTTGTTATTTTGGACTAAACGAAACACTCTCAGGCTTTGTTTCTGAGAGGTGTTGATAGAAACCCAAAGAACTTGCATGCAATCAAACAACAAGTGGACTGAGCCACATTTTGAATCGAGCAGCCCATGGGATCTTTCATCTTGTGTAGACCAGAAGTAGCCTGTCTGTCTACCCCAGCAGGATTTTTGTTAATAGAGGGAAGGAGACAAGAAGATGTCTCAGTGCAGCCTAGATACAGTAGGCTCTTTGTTTTTGTTTAGTCGCAGCACATCGCAGAACCTCACAAACACACAATTACAAGCTGTGGGGTTCCTTGAGACATTAATGAGCAATCAAGCACCACCAGTTTTGCCCGGAGTACATTAGCAGCTAATTTTTTAATATATGTCCATCTTCCATCTGCCCTTTCCTTTGCTCCTCACTAACTGCTTCCTTCAAATGAATGCAAGGCTGTGCTCTAGCTGGCAGACTAAATCTAATCTTAGGTATATCTATACTGGAATTAGATTGCTGTTTCTGATGAAGTCCGGATGGCAAAAATAAATCCACTGAAACAGATTATGGCAAATCAGATTTAAATAAAAACATTTATAGATGTTTTGAAATTTGTTTCAAATTAACTTTCAAACCTCAGACTGTGTAACGTTTGCTGAGAAATGTGGCCTCAGTGGCAACAAGTTGTAGGTTCAGGATGCTGGGGGCGTTTAATGCTGTCAGTGCTACTGGAAAATAGCTTATCAATCGATCATGCCAGAAACCCAAAATCAGCATCTCAACACAAAATAGCAAACGCACTGTCCACCCATGTCAAGTCAACACCTTATCTGGTTATTGTGACTGAAAACAGATGAAACCACAGCCGTTGTGTTCTTAAATGTTCTTGTCAGGACTGTTTGCTGACTGAGTGACTATGCAGTGTTTCTTTATCTGGGAGGAGTCATGTGATATAAATTTAGATTTGGTATACAAATCTCCCTAAATGTGCTCAAGTCCATGTGAACACACCTGCGTACAGCCAGTACAGCCCACAGTTTGTCTGCAAAGCGACTTTGCTAATAAGGGAATAGTGTGCATGCTCAGCAGTGGTGTTTCTGCTCAAAATATGTAGAAACATAGAACCTAATACACATATATGCAATGGAGTCTTCGCAGTCGACTCCTGTGGACTAGAAAAGTAGTATTATAACAACAAGTACGTGTCAGCAGATGTTCATGTGCGCAACAGCAGAAATGGGGATTTTAAATGACTAATTGTTCATTTGTAATCTTTAATTAGATGGAGTTACACGTGTGTTTGCTGACCACCTGTAAGGATTGAGAGCACCTTGCGGTTTGTCTAACTGCAAACTGTGACAGTTGTGTTGATGAACTTTGCAGCACTAAATTGTCAAAAGGTCTCTGGCAGCTGTTGGATTAGCTAGCCCCGTGAAGCACATGCTAATGGTAAACCAAGATTTTCAAATGCAGGCTGCAAGCTGAGTGTCACCTAGCAGAGAGCAGCTGTAGCTGCTAACGATGCTAACATTTAGAAGCAGCAGCGCCCTGATTCCATGCTTCCAACAATGTTTAAGCTAAATATAAGTCTGTTTTAAAAAGTGTGAATAAATACTGACTGATTTCAAGCTCTTAAAAAAGTTGCTGCGGCAGTACTTGTGGACATCTGTTCCAGTTGAGCAGCTGTTGCCAGTCGCTGAATAAGTAACTCAACTAATATAAGTGAACAGGTCGCTCCATCATCTTGATACAACACAGAAGATACTGTCTGGTGGCTGCTAGTATGTGCATTGGCTCTGTTACTCAATTGCTGAGTTGTAAATTCTCGCTGATACCTGGTGGTAATGTTCATCATCCAGCGCTGCCTGGGATCAGCGAAGTTACGCATACAGTCTGGCAGGTGGCAACGTGACCTTAACCTTTGTTGATAACAATCCAGGTTACATATTGACAAGGAAACAACTTAACCAACTCCGAACAGACGGATTGCACAATTCATTTAAATGGCGGCTGAATGAAATCAACTGAGAGATACGCCTTGCAATAAATGCGGCATTTGAATAAACCCAGCTATGCTAGACGCTGACATGGTTTGTGTAACTAACTAACTTCTGCTACGTGTGCTTTGTTGAATAAAGCTCTAATCAGCATAGACAGAAAAATGGTAACCCACATCAACCTGAGCACAGCAGCCAATGCATAGGAAAAGCCTGCGTGCAAAACTACGTTACTGGTTAAGAAAAGCAGATGCTCTCCGAGTGTGTTCAGAAACGCAGCTGCTGGTGCTCTCCTCTCTATCGTGTTATTGTTGCTCCAAGGGCTATTCTTGTCTCACCCTGTTGTTTGTCACTTTCTTTTTTGACCTCTGCCAATCTTTTGTCTTTTCTTCTGACTTGTGAGGTTCACTGCTCTGACTTGTGGTGCCTCTCCCATTTCTCCTCACACGTTTGTTGTGTCAGTGAACCTGGTATCACACATTACTGCTTAGGGACGTACAGAAAAGAAGGAATTAGTAGCCAAAATGAAAATGATGTACTATAATTACTGTTTGGAAATCTAACACATTTAATTTAGTCACACATTTAAAAGTTAGTTTCTCTTTAAGTCCAGTGAGACGTTTGAAACCTCCGTACCACGACTAGATACAGAACTGTGTTGTTGTGAAGAATTAGATTGTGTGCCTGTTTTCTTCTTGTAGCCTGCAGTTTGCTGTTTTTACATCCACACTGGAGAATTACATCATCTGTTATGTTGTCTTCATATACATTGATAGAAGTTATTTCAGAATACACAGTGGGGGAGGAGAAAATGACAAAGGAGTGACACTTTATTGGAAGCTTTTTGAAGCAAACAACAAATTAATCAAATATTTGATCAACAAGAGAAGGTTGATATTTCAGTGTTATTCTGGATTAATTGTTGCAAGATTAAAACCATGCAAGTGCAAAGAATGTGTCGCGTTACTATTCACTCTCACCACGCACACACAAACCTATGAGAAGTTTTTCCTCAAAGGGAGATTCTTTGAGAAGTTAAAACCCGACACTGTACATCGTGTCGCCCGTCGGGACTGGCATCAGTAGAGTAATTGGTCTGCCTAGTGAATTGTTAAGCTCTGCCTTTCTTATCCAGAACTCTCCGGAGACTTCTACCCTGTCAGCACCTTCAAATAAACCATTTGGGTATTTTTAAATAGCGCAGTCAAATACACTCACTCGGCTTACTATTTGTACTGCTCGCCTCAAAATGTTGTGCACGTTCTATTTTTAGCATTCTTTGTCAATGAGACATCATAGCCTTATCTCACAATACCCAAATGCAGGCAGTTTTATCTGCTGGGCTGGCTCAGGTTACAGGTGTGGAAACAAGCAGCGTGTTAGTGTAGCCTGGCAGCTTAAGTGTAGCCCCTTTGTCCGTGCTTAATATGATGTTAGAGAGGAATTAAGGTTAGGGAAACTAGGCTTGTTCTTTGTTGTTGTACAAGACGGGGATCCCCGATTCCCTTGAAGACTTAAGTGTGTCAAACCCTGCCTCTTCATATTTGTTCAGAGTCTAACTTTATCGTTGCATGATTTTAATAATAATTTTCTTCCTTCTGTTGAAGTATTGACTTACTGTCTTGACGTACAATAATGCTTTTTGTTTTTTATTCTCGCTAACTGGAAATTTGTTGTTTAGGTTTGAGTACTGAAGTATATGTATCCTGTTAGCAATGCTGTTTGTATATAGATTGTTTTCTCCTGACTACATCCTTGCTTGGGTTGTATCCGCTCTCAGATGTATGTCGCTTTGGATAAAAGCTAAATGAAATTGTAGAATTGTATATATTCTATTTTTAAAAATATTAGTGAAATATTCATAAGGTTGTGGGGAGCGAATTAGTACCTGTGAATTTGGGTATGCTGTTGCAAAGAGAGAAGTGTGAAATGCTCTATCACTTCTTTTTTGTTTTACCACAGATTTGTTAACAAAATTCTTCTTTTTTTGTTTCTGCAGCGATCCTTACGTCAAGCTTTCCCTCTATGTTGCGGATGAAAACAGAGAGCTTGCCTTAGTCCAAACGAAAACTATTAAAAAGGTAAGTGGTTATTTAAAAAGTAGTTTGGATACACAGACCTGTAGCTGTTGTTGTCGTGGTTCCAGGCTACGGCCACACTAATACATTTTCATTTTAACATGCCTGAAAACGCATGACACAGGACCACTGGGCATGTGCGTACCGGTGTAAACAGGAAGCAGAGGGTTGTTTGCTGATACACTAGTGTGTCCATAGTCCTATCTGTTGTACTATATAGTATGCTAGAGAAAGATTTAGTGTGCCACAACGCGTAGTATGGCAAATGTAGTATACCAACAATACCAGGGTGTCCCACAACATCAAACATTTTGACCCACAGAGTTACAGTGAAGTCAGATACGTCACAATGGCTTGCATGAGCACACAGACAGCTCATTTTGCACTAAAGACTGTGACGAATTCATGAGGGTGGGACAATATTAGGATGAATTGGTGTGTCCCAATGGTATACTTACTGCAATAACTAGTCTGAGTTTTGTAAGTGCAGCTGTAGTGCATACTAACAGTAAAAAAAACAACAAAGAACTCAGTCACTGCTTCTCCCTGTCGACATGTTAACACCACAAACTGAGTTTCTTAAAATCTTCACCCAAAACGTACATTTTTATTGACCTAAAACTGTGTTTGCATGTGGAAAAAAAGGCAAAAAGAAAAACACTCGTGTACGTGTGGACAAGGCCTCAGACCTAATGAAGTCCAACGTGTTTGTATTGTATCAGATCGGCCACTCCTGACACAGTCATCTCCTGCACCACACATTTACTTTGCAACCACTTCCAGTAAATGTGGCTTTGTTCGCTCTACTACAAGTCACAGGTCTGAGATCACCAGATCCTTCTACCACCTTTCCTACACATCAAGGCAATCATGTCATCCCGAGAGAAGGAAACCACAGGAAGGCACCGGAAGGCAGGGCTTCCTTTTTCTGTTCAGGAGAGTCTAGAGGGAGACATTGGCTGAGCTCTTTCCCCCCAGTGGCCTATTTTGGGGAGGAAATCTGTTCACAGCAGGGGGAGCTATTACTTGCAATTAATGCAGACTCTGTATAGAGGATATTTTAATTTCAAAGTGGGCTGTAATTTTGATTTATTTCCAGCACTGTGGAATGCATGGTTTACATTAAGTCTGTAGTGTTCTGCTGCATTATATTTTATTCATTTCCAAGGCTAGGATTTGCATAAATATATAATCTACTAGTGTGACCCTTTTATGTAGCAATAGCCTGACTCTACATATTCCTATTTTCTTGTAAATTTCTCCTTTCCTGGTACTTAAGGTTAGCCACAAGTAGCTGCCAGCGAAACCCTCTGCTGGAGTCAGTCAGCTCAGGCCTCCATGCTGGCAGACATATGCTGCCAGTGGACATGGTTGCTTTATAGGATAAAAATAGCTGACAATGCACTGCTATGTGGAGCAGAAAAAGAAGCATCACTGCTCAGCTCTTCTCTGGGCTCTGTGTGTCTTTAAGTGGGACACCTTTGATGGAATCTTTGTTACTGAAGCTAAGAGTTTGGCTCGTGGCAAGATGACATGAAAAATGACAAAAAAAAAGTGAAGAGCCAGTCCGAGACCACCATCAGTGTCTAGATGTTGCCTCGAGCGTATACCAGGCGCTGATGTTAGGCATGCTGCTCTGTTTATTTACATTATTTCCTCATGGATTATGCATCACGGTGTATGGATTTTAGCATTAAATTGACTGTCAAAGTGCAGTGGGTTCATGTGTAATTCTCAGCGCTTGTTTTAACATAGACGCTACTTTACCGCTGCTGTAAAATGTCGTGCTTATTAATCCGAGCGACTCGTGAAATTAAGACTTCATTGACGTTTCGGTGTTTAAGTCGTTTCAATCACCGAAAGGAATTTTAATGAGAAAGTGTCACATAGTTTTCAGGCCAATAAAATATCAACCGTGTGAGACAGAAGGAAGGAGTCAGGGGAGTTTAGTTGCTCAGCCGATCCACTCAGAAAGTGGGTGAAAATCCTCGTGGCTGCTAATCTAAAGGCTAAAGCCAATCACCGGGACATGTTTGCTCCAAACTTCCTCTGACGACGTAAGAGGCTCACTGAGATTTGGTCTCTTTGTCTTGCTTTGAGTTGGATAGGTTTCATGCATGTGTTCTTTTCAAATTAAAGGCGGCGTTCTCTGTGCTTTAACACACAGTTCCTGTTGCTTGTTGTCTAACCATACCTATACATTGTGTTTCAGACCCTCAACCCCAAATGGAACGAAGAATTCTACTTCAGAGTGAGTTCAGATTTGAAAACTCTTTGCGTGCTTTAATGAATTGCCTTTCTTCACGCCTCCTTCACTTGTTTACTCTGGAGTGGTAGTGCTAGAGTTGTTAATCTTTGGTTGCAGTTTAACTCAGAGCTCAGTCCCTCCTCCACCACTGCAATCAAGCAGACCATATTAGACTTTACAAGCTTAGCCACATGCGCACGACAACTCCTCACTGGTTATTTATAAAAGAATTACAGTTCGGTCCTATGTTACACTGATTAGACGCCTGACCACCTTCTAGCCACAGTAGTTGTGAATTATTGTGACGCAGAAGCAAGCAGGTAGTTTTGTACAGCGTTTGTCATGTACGTACATCGAGGCGGCTTTGCGCGCCGCATAACCACCGGGTGACAGCTGTAACATCTCCCCTGTTATTTTGTTGCCCACACAGGTGTGTCCGCAGAATCACAGGCTACTCTTCGAGGTGTTTGATGAAAACAGATTGGTAAGATTCACCCTTCAAACCCTCTTACCCGTCACGACACGTCTGTTACAAATGTCTACAATATTTTTAATTTCTTTTTTATTTTATTGCATCGTTTTACAATCCTCTTCCAATTTACTTCATGCAGTGTTTCTACCTTAAACTACTTACTAAATGTAAATTCTGACATCTCAATCTGTTTTCTTTTGGTAGTAACGAGCTCTCCAATAGGACTTTCTTTTTTATGCTTCAGTCTCGATTATGGTAATAAAACATAATGTGTCACCAAATGAAGTGTGATGATCGTAAAACTGATATTACTGCGTTTTCCTGAAATGGTTCTGCGTTCATTTCGCCACAGAAATCATCAACAACCTCGACTGAATTTTATTGACTCCATCTGCAGCCCCGTGTGTTTCTTTTTCTGTGAACGCTTTGACACGTTGCCAGATTTAACATCACAGGACTTCAGCTGTAGGCTCCAGCAAACGTGTACACCCAACAGTGTGTTTTGTTTGTCTGCTGGCTTCATTGCTCGGCTGTAGGATTTTCGTCCACTAACAGCTCCTACATTCCTCTCATGTCAAATTTCTCAGATTTCCCCGCACAGACGAGAACACTAGTTTCCTTGACTTGTGAAATTAAGCCCGTTGAAGGCCCTCAGTTGCCATGACAACTAGATTAAATGTCAAGTGTTGCAGCAGTTAAAAGCAGCTCAAGTAGGCCCTGATAATCAATTTGCTGATTTACACTTGTGTATAAACTTCACCTTGGTTAACCGTCCTCAGCGGAAGACGGAGGTGAGTGAAGTGCTTGTTGACATCATGAAAACGTTTTTCTGTGAAATACACGAAAGGCTTCACTTGCCTTGTTAATTGTTTGCTACATCTTCTCAGTAACCTACAGAGTCTGGATCTTGAGTTTGATGTTTTCTAAAACAAACAGCGGATGCAGCCCAACATAGTTTAGGTGTTCTTGGCTGGATGAGGCGCATTCTGTCTGGGCCTCACAGGTTCAGGGCTACTGCTCACTCTTGTAAATGCAAGACTGTTGTGGGAGGTTGAAAGATTTGGGATTTAGTTTGTGGACTGTCCTCGTAGCAGCACACTCTGAGTTTTCCTGATAGCTTTAATGACGTGGAGACGGGATGATTTCATGATGAAATCTCATTCAGTTACTTTAATGTGTGTAATTCATATGCTGATAAAATCGGAACATATATTGCTCCATGTTCCACACGCCCCTGCAAGGGGGAATTGTTGGCACTCATCCCGTTAGGAAAAGGGCAGCTCTAATTTTTCCCCTCAGTACAGTGAGAGCTCTCTGTTGCAATATAGAAGAAGATGACAAAAGAAAACAGAGCACATTCAGCCTCAAGCACGGTCCTTTCCTTATATGTCTGAGGAGGTTCTCCCTGTCTGTCTCTAGGTGCATGCCAAAGCAGCTCCTCCACCACTGGCCAGCACTTCTTTGAAGGGGCTGCTTGTTCCTTCGTATCCATTATTTATGGTTTATTTGTCAGATGAGATGAAAAGCTTGTGCAATAGCATGTGTGAGAGATTGGCGTTTACTTACAAAATGCTCTAGTTACACTAAATGTCAAGTACTGTAAGTGCGTACAGTATGCCGTATATAGGAGAACTATTTGTGAGACTGAGAGCTGACATAGAATTTCAAGGAAGAAGTTGAATAGAGCTACAATACAGTGCAGTGTCTAGTTTGAAGCAGGCATGTTATGTCATTTGGCAAGCTGGGCTTGCTGCCATTGGACCACACATTGGCATTTTGTTTCTTTTATACAGAACATTCTCCATAACATTTCACACACACACATTTATTGACTGTGCCTAACACTGTAGGCAGTGTGTCATCACTAAGTGTAACAAGCTGCCAAACCATGATTTCTTCTTGTACTACAGTCTTTTCTTTTTGGTTTCTCCCTCCAGTCAATATCGCTTGTCTCCTTGATGCCCTCTTGTCCACAATGCAGAGCTTTGATTTTTGCTCTTTCCTTTATTTCTTTCTTCCCAATGTGATAGATCATCAGTGGCTTGTTGCAGCTTCTTTTTCTGAGACAAATAAGGTGACACACTGTGGGCTAAACCACAGGTCGAACCAGTCATAGAAGTTGAAACAAGGCAGCTACTTTCTGACCATGTAGCTCTGAAATGCCAAATTATGATAAGGGCTTTGTCAGTTCTGTTCTGGAGGCGGACAGCTCCTCCACTAACTCTGGCTGCAGGGCGAAGTAGCCTAAACCCCCCTTTTACGCATGCTGATGCACTGGTGAATCACATCGCTGCCGAGCAGAATAGAGCATGAATGTACAGTATGCTGTATGTAAAACGTGTTTTTGTTTTCCCTTGTATTCTAGCCAGATAGTATATTACAAGTGCTTAAGCATCGTAATTTGTGTGCCTAATTTCATTCAGTGTTGCAGACGAGGATCACAGCCGAGTTGTATCATAGACGGTTTTTTGGATGCAAGCAGAATGGCCTATAAATCCACCAGCCAGCCAAGTGTTTGGCTGTGTTTGGGAGACAGTGTATGTCTATTCTGTTTCAAGTAGACACATCCTACCCCAGAGAGGACCGTGCTGTTTGCCTTATCAAAGATGCAATCTGTCAGATATTCTGCTCTTTACTCTGCTGCTGCCTTTTTTTTTCTGGTTCATTTTTAGCAACAACTTCCTTATGCTTTTTTTTTTTTTCCCCCCCTGGTTGTCAACCTACAAGACATAACAGAGCACAATTTTTATTTTCAGATTTTTCTTGTTGCATTTTTGATCTGATTGCCTCAACCAGACATTTAGTGGGTAAAAATTAGCAAGAGAATCTGTGCTTCATGTTGTGACTTCGTGTGTAATTAGTTGAGGGAGGATGTCACGTGGATGTGTGTTTGTTTATGGATGCATTCCTTCTTTTCCTTCTCATTCTCTTCCTCTCTATTTACCCTCTCCTGAAGAAAATGGCAGATGAAGAGAAAGGGCGATGTTGTGGACTTCAGTTATTACAGTAATGAGGAAATGATGTTGAGTTTATATTTACTATGATGTTTTAAGAAAAGTGTTTTAGTTATCTTTACTATTATCGCTATGACACATAGCATATTGGCAGTATTAGCTAAGGGATTTAGGTTGTAGGTAATGTCTAAATTAAGAAGTTAAAAACAACATGGAACTAGAAGCATGGACCCTGATGAGAGATGTGGAGGCAGATGAATGGGCGGGTTGAGGAGGAGATCATGTGATTGAAGGGAAGGATGGACAGGGGTATGCAGGATGTAGCTGGGGGGCCAGTTGGCACTTGAGGGCAGTGTGGGGTTGTAACAGGAGGTGGTGGGGCCATTTGTAGTCACATGACTGACAGGCAACCCTCTGTCACCTCGGAAACCAGGAGCGCCGGTCGCTCTTATCCAATCATGTCAGGAATGCTGGCTGTCACTCGGCTTAGGCTATTTCTGCTGTCTGTCGCTAGTGCTTGGTAGTGCTAAGAGTTTGTTATAGAGGGATCCTCCTTCCTTTTTTCTATTTTCCCCCCCTAACCCTTCCTCCCTTTAGCCTTCACTCTGCCACTCCTTTTGAGTGCGCGTAGTGTAAAGTTGTCAGCTGTTTTGCACCGGCTGTTATGTTTTTGTGGTGTGACTTTCTTCTTTTTTTTCCGTGCAGTTTAGTGTGGGAAGGAAAGTTGTGGAAGAGACTCGCATAGGGCGGGAGGGGGAAGCGGGGAGGGGGGATGGAAGAAGAAAAAAAAAAGAAAGGGGGATCAGTCATCTAGCCAGCCAAAGGAGAAGTGGGCGACACTAGGAGACTGAGACAGGAGCCAGAAGAGAGAACCAACAGCCAGTAGGAGAGAGAAAGTGAGAGGGAACGGGAGCTGTGGGACGTTAGGTGAAAATGGCACAGCGTCTGCGTTTGTACTTTGGCTCGGGCCGCAGCAACACAGCCCCGGAGATACTGGAAGGAGACTCTGAGGAGCAGCAGGGAGAGAGTGATGTGGTCACGGCCCTCCGCATGCAGCCGCCTCCGGTATCGAGGCCTTCTCAGGACTTCTCGGCCGCGCAGCACGTCCCATCAGCAACTTTCGGCGTGCACTCGGAGCCTTCGCTGAAACGCAGCTCCTCCATGTTCATACCGCAGCTCGCCGCCTACACGGAGCCGCGTCCCACCAAGAGCTCGTCCATGCACATCTCCCTCCAGCGCTCCAATGGTTCAACTAATGGAGATTCCAGTGGCTATGCCGATGATGTCCCGCCGCCTTGTTATACTCCTCCAGGACCTGCGCCTGCCTATCCTGAACCACAGACCCGAGCAGACTTTCCACAGCAGCCGCCTCCTCCGTACTGCAGCTCAGATTCTTTAAACTCTGTCCTGACAGAGCCGAACCTCCCCAAGCGCAGGGTCTTCAGTATTGGTTCCAGTGGCCATACCACATTTAGCAGAGGCCAGCCTGGTATCAGTGTTGGCGCCATTTGTATCCAGAGAAGTTCTTCTGACGGTTCTGATGTCCGGCATTTCAGAATTCTTCCTTACGGTGGTGCCGGCTGGTCCGTCCAGCAGCAGAGCATCGACCCGTGTCCTGGCGTTAATGGTGCAACACAGAGACTAGTGTTTCAGCTCCAGCAAAATCAGAACCAGGATCCGAGTCAGGCCAGACAACAGGCTGCTGCATCCCTGGAAGAATGCACAGATGTTGGCCGCGGCAACTCCAGGGGTTGCCGTACGGTGCGTTACCCCAGAATTCGACTGCAGAGAAGCTCGTCTCATCAGAGGCTGTTGCTGGAGAACAAACATCAGAAAAGTGATGCAGAGAGCCAGACTATAGAGGAGAATCAAACAGACGTGGACACAGAAGCAAGAAACAGATCTAATGGGTGTACTTTTAAAATCAGTGGGGAAACACCCAGAAGGCAACCGCATTTCAAGATTTATTTTACCCCGGGTGGAGGTGGAGATCAGGATGTGAGCCTTGGCAATGAGTCGACAGCGAATAATTCCAAGGTAAAGATTATCGGAAAACAT